ATGTTTAATTTGAATATCTATAGAAGTTGTTAGAGAAGCTGACTGTTTACCGATACGACCCAAATTAATTAAGTAGCACAGTGTAATAACTGTTAATAATATTAGTTTACGCAGACTACAATATTTACTACAACAATATTTGCTCCTAAAAGCAATTTCCCGGCACCAATTTAATAAAGATTAATCATTTAATAATAACATCGAGTTGTGATATTTACAAGAAACCTACAGGGAAGTGGAAATGTTTCAAAATTGTTCGTGTTGTTTACTTAAAATAATTTTATTAATCTGGTGTTTAAAAATAGAATCTTAAAGAAACCCGTTCTTAATACGAATTATGTTATCAAAACATCACTTGAGTTGGTAGTTGAAAATACTACTGCTTGTAAACTTTTCCACTACAGGCTTTTCTCAATTTGAAAAGAAAAATCATGATTTGTTTTGAGACATAAAACTAAACCCCTTTATGATAGGAAGAAAAATATATGTATTTCTCACGTTAAAAAAAAGAGAAAAGCAACACAGCAGACAAGTGATGAACTGTAGAAATACATATTTTATGTATTTAATGATGCGGGTGCACGTCCAAATGTGTAGAAAGCTGAAGCAGTTCAGCATATTGAAAAAGGGGTCTTGCGTTTGAATTCTACTAGTCACTTGAGCAAACAGCGGATGACAAGCTACCAAAAGTGAAGACAACAACAATTAGTTGTAAAAACAAAACTACTTTAAGTATGTTTCCACAAAAACAGGTCAAATCATCAAAAGGCTTCTCTTGGCCAGGTTATGGCGAGAGGAATCATCAGACTATTACTGACTAATAATCCCCCCGTTTCTTCTCCTACTCCAGAACTAGGCCGCAGTAACTTACTGCGCTTGACCCACGATCCTATTGCTGAGTCCTATTGCTACCCAGTCACCTTAATGTATCTTATTTCACCTATGATCCTATAAATTCCTTTCTTCCATAAATCTAGAGTATGTTGGCTATAGATATGTAGCCAGACAGTAAATTCAGTCAGTTCAATAGTCACAGGCCGGTGGCGTAAAGCCAATCAAACATGTAACTAACAACAGACTATTTGCTGTGGACAAACGCAACGCATGTAAATCCAATATGGTGACGTTTCTCGTGCCAGGTCTGGGCTTTTTGACTAATGGATTGTATCATAAATAATATAGATTCATGACTGTTATTCCCTTAAGTGATGATGACCTTGTAATATAGACAAATGTAATTTGTGAATAGAGGATGGATAAGATTACCTAAAACAATCATACTGAAACTGCGACAAACTTATTAAATGTAGATATACAGAAAGAGCCATGCTCAGGATGGGCCTCCTCGATCGAAGTGATGCCTCATAGAAAACCGGCGCGTCACAACCACAGCCTTGTGTTTTTGCCACTTGATGACGATTTGTTGTTACCGGAGGCCCAAACATCCTCTTCTCAATCCGGAATGGCAGGCAACGCACCCGTAACTCCTTCTGGCTTTAGGTGCAGCGTCGATTACTTACCATCAGGTAATCCGCCTGCTCGGTTACCGGCGTATCTATTTATACAAATGAATAATAATCACTATCATGTAACATAATAAAAATGATTCTCTAACTATTCACACAAAAAAGTACTTATATCTTAGATGACACTAACAATAAAGTGGTCGGTCTAAAAAACCTAAGATGACTTGTCCTAACGGAAATCCAGTTTAACGAACTCCGTGATGTCATATTCTTCACCAGAATTCTATGACTAGCCAAACGATTATATTTCGAGTAGAGATACCATCAGTATTTAATTCCGGCTCATTCCAATCCATGTCATATCCAAGCCTTGGACGATGCGTAGAAAATAAATACATGTAGCAAAAAATTGACATGGCCGTATGACGGGGCAAAAAATGTAAAGCAATTGTTTGAAAATATTTTGTTTAATTGACAGCCTATTATTGCCTTCGGGCTTTGTGTACGCTGACTCTAGATTTGACCAGGTTGTAATATTGTGTAAAAACTATTATTAGTAGTTTTTGTTGTAATATTCGGTCACCTGATAATATTCTTGCATTTTGTGAAACATGTCATCATTCCAGATTGGTACAAAATATTTTAATTTTGAATTCAATGTGCTTTGTAATACCTTATTAAAATAAATTAAAGTTCTAGTTTTGCTCAGAAGAATACGATTTAATCGAGTTACAGACAACATAATCCGAGCTTACAAACCAATTATTCTACGCAACACAATAAAGATATAAAAAAACAAAATCGAAACAATTATTGACATCGAATTAATTATATAGACTTCTTTATTACCTGTCGAAATCATTTGACATTTGTTTTATTACATATTTCGTTGTTTCTCCAAGACATTCGAGTTCAAGAACAACTTCCAACATAGGCTGTCGCTGTCAAATGAACAAACTTGGAGATCAGAACAGAAACTGAACAATAAAAACTTCACAACGGCTAATTTTCTTTATCACCGAGTGAAGTACTTGGTATTTTATTACGAATACTAAATTCTATTACAATCAGTAGACGCTGGAGAATTTTCGTAAAATACCATTAACAACTTTTTGAAACGATAAAATTAAAATATCTGAAAAGTTGGTCGGGTCACGGTATCTCAAAAGTTGACGAACTGCGTCAAGACAAACTCGATTTTAACGTTTTTTTTTCTACCTCGACTCAGAAATTATCTTGCGGCATTTCTAATGTAATTAACATTGAAAATTTACTACAAACTTTTTAGTAACTAGCGTCTCGAAAGTTCGCTCTTTGATTATATAAATTTAATTTATGAAAAATCAAAACAGTTTTTTTTAAAAATAAACAAACTAAACTTGTTATGAAACTTAAAGTAAAACGTTAAATGTGCCAGAACAAGGTAGATAAATCAATAAAAACTCACAGTACAACTTAAATTATAAAATTACTTTAGGTGTATCGAGGGCTACTTTCTTTATTATTTGCAACTGATCATAATTTTGAAAATGTCACGAGGTATCGGAAACCCTGGTCACCATTAGCGCATCAAGTCAGCGACAACTACTTCATAAATGGCAGTGGTAGAAAAAAACATTTTTTTTTTTTATGTAATAGCTCGGCAAACGAGCAGACGGATTACCTGATGGTAAGCAATCAGCGCCGCCCATGGACACTCGCAACGGAGGAGTTACGAGTGCATTGCCGACCTTTTAGGGATTAGGGATTTGGAGATTTAGGGATTAAGGAGGGATTGGGGAAGGGAAAGGATTGGGCCTCCGGTAACCTCACTCACACGGCGAAACACAACGCAGTGGTTATTTCACGCCGGTTTTCTGTGAGGCCGTGGTATCACTCCGGTCGAGCCGACCCATTCGTGCCGAAGCATGGCTCTCCCACACTTAAACAAACACTTAACATACAAATAAAACAACCAAATCTTTAAAACCAATTAAGAATTTTCAAAAGATGTGCCAAATTCTTGTGGCCAAAGGGCGTGAGCAAGCAGTTTATATAGGTAAGGTTAAGTTTTGTTGGAGTTGTTGAAGATAGTTGCGGTGTTTCTGTTAAATGTGGTCCTTGGTCGATCAGATGGAGCCCAACATGGCCGATGTTCAGCTGGAGTTGCGGATGCAAACGCAATAAGTGTATCGCAGCCTCGGCCCGGAGCAGGAAAAGGAACGGAATAGTTATTAGATAGTATGAGTTTGACATTTCCTCTACGCCACCTTGGATGTGAGAAGACATAAGGCATTCGGATATTTAAAGATTGGGGAGGGGAGGAATTGGGCATTCGGAAACCTAACTTACCCAGCAAAACACAATACTGTACTTATTTCACGCCAGTTGTTTGTGAGGCCGTGGTCGACCCAACCCATTCGTGCCGAAGCTTGGTTCTCCCACACTAATGATGATTTTCCCATATAAAAAGATAAAGCCCCCGATTGATTCCGGCGACCTGCATGACAAGAGAAAGATTGGCGATAAATTGAGTTTTCCGTCACCACGCGGAAGATTTAATGACAACCTCGGTAAAACAAAAACCAGAGAATGACGTCCGCCCAACATTTTTCATCAAAAGCGAAAGAAATTAAAAATATCCAAAGTAATAATAAAACTTTGCATACAAATTGCACGCCGGCAATCATCTGCCCCGAGTACCAGCACCAGCTTTCATTCCCTCATAATTTTAAAATATGTAGGAAAACAAAGTTTTTGCCCCAAAAACGTATCCCACCCGGTCGGTAAATACCCCAGTGATTTACTTGAATCATTTACATACATATCACATTGCTACCGTTTCAAATGCTGAAGTTATACTTGGACCTTATAATTTATAGGCCGCAGTACCTCTTACTTTGAAATACCAAATATATTTCCCTTTGTGTGTCTATCTTTACATTATGCCATTTTTTTTTGCTTTCGTTTACTGTGAGTGTCTTTTTATATTTATTAAATTATATTATATAGGCATGTTTTACCAAGTCTCTGCTCACGAAGTCTAACGAAAAAATAATCACTATCATTCTCCAGAAAAAATATAATTATTAAAAAATCTATTAGTAATAGAATTGTACCATTGACACCCGCAACGCCAGAGGAGTTACAAGTGTGTTGCGGGATTTTTGGATATAAGGGTTTTGAAGATTTGGGGATTGGGGAAAGATTAGATCTCTGACAACTTCACTCACACGGGGAACGCTGTAGTTGTTTCACGCCATTTGTTTCTAAGGCCTTGGTATCGCTGACCGCTCGAGCCAACCCATTCATACTGGCTCTCTCACACTTAAGTATATTTCTTTATTACTCATGGCAGTTATTATTCTCATGTGATTTACAAAATCAACGTTTCATGATCTCAATGTTAACAACTCACCACAGGCCGGCGACACACGCCTTGTATCGTCCATTGGCGCCGCTGATTGCTTACCATCAGGTAATCCGTCCGATCGTTTGCTGACCTATAAATAGAAAAATATATGTTTTTAATAAAGTCATAAGTGTAGGAGAGCCATGCTTCGGCAAGAATGGGTCGACTCGACCAGAGTAATTCCACGACCTCACAGAAAACCACAGCGTTGTGTTTCGCCATGTGAGTGAGTTAGCCGGAGGCCCAATCTTTCCCCTCTCCCGAACCCTAAATCTCCAAAATCCTAATCCCTAAAAGGTCGGCAACGCAATCGTATCACCGTTGCTGGTTTCCCTGGGCGGCGCTAATTCTTTACCATCATGTAATATAATTCGTCTTGCTTCGTTTGCTGACCTATTATATATAAAAAAATATATATGTTTTGTTACCATTGATAGAGTCAGTACCCAGACTGACGGACAGGCAGACCCAATAACGGTTCCTGTCTCTATAGTAAATAAACCTTTATTTGTGTACTTACACACATAATAACTTTACATACAAAACATTAATCTCTATTTACAAAGAAGGTCGTCGAAGTAAGAAAAATGCTTATGTAGGCGAAAGTAGTGTAGGCAGAATGAACTACCCACGTCATTTGAAATCTTTATGTATAGCCAAATATTTAAGTATACTTTGATACCTTGTTTCATTTGATACTTTGATTGAGTTGATACCTAGTTATCGATACTTCGATACAAATTATCGATTACTGATCGTAATCGGATTACTAGTTCCTGATATTAGGTTCGAAAGTTGAATAGCAGTTACTAGAAAGTGAGATAGTTATAATAATTCTTATTTCCTCATTGCTACTGGTTAGCAAGAAAAGTGGATTTCGATTCCTGGTTTGAACAATCAAGAAAAAGAAAGAAATTTCCCACATTACCTATTTGAAGAATAAATTAATTTGTTAATCTCATTACCTACCACGACTACATTAAAGCAGATTATTATTTTTTATTCACAATCTATATTTTTCATCTACTTTAACTTTTCCGATGAAATACGAACATTGCGTCCAGACAATCTGCAATCGAAAACTTTTTAAAATTCATTTCGGAGAATTCATAACGGTAAATCCGGATATTGGTAGCCAGACCACCCTTTGGCCGGCGGAGGGCAGATTATAATTATTTTAAAATTCCTCCCCGTCTGTTAGATAACTCAATTTCTTTGGGACACGAACCCGGGGAAGTTAGCTTTCTATTTAATGTTGTTATGTAAAATAGTCAAGCATATAAATTGATCATAAATTATTTCAAAATACTTGATCTTTATTTTGCAATCTTTTTTTATTTTGATTCATCATTCTTTATATTTATTATTTAGATTCAGTAATATTGATCGGTGTTCGGGTCTTGGAAAGAGACACGCCGCAGCCCTATTCGAGCTCAGCCAGGGTTGCTGGGCAAACGCAACATGGTACCGTGGCCAGAGCAGAGCTGGTTAGAGCAGGAGAAGAAACGGCGGGATTTTTAGCCAGTAAGAGTTTGATACTCGCTCTTGCCTCACCCTAGGACAGAAGTCACTTGATGGTTTTCATCCCACAAAAAAACCCTACCCGGGGCAGGGATTAATAAATATTCTCGAATGGCGGCCAAGGGCCAGAAAAGGGAGCATTGGCAGATCTGCTAGGTGAACAAACGTTAAACGTCCAAAACGTCCTTTTCGTTCGAACGTGTTCTCCACGTTCATAAGGGGAAGCCTTTTTCCCAGTAGTGCACGTCTTCTGGCAAACGGTGATGATTATGATAAAGATGAGATGACAGTCCAACTTGGTTCAATCAGGGCTGGAGAATTCATTCGATATAATTTTTCCCTTGTTAAAATATCCGATGAAAACGTTGATACAAAAACACAAACATTGTTGAAGCTCTTATATTTTCACCAACCAAACTTCACCTTATCAACGGAAAACATGTCGCGTGAATTATTTCTAATAATAAACATCACATTATAAAATACAGTAGCGATAAAATCTTTACTTTATTAACTACTCTTTAGCATCGAACTACTTAAGAAGTAAACGCGAGTCGGGCGCTGGTTGGTTGGCAATTTTCTTCACTGTTCATTTCCTTCGTGAACTAAAGGAGTGGGTCACACTCAACAACAACAAAAACCGAAAAGGGATATACTAGTTCAAATTCGTCAGTTGCCCAGGAATTCGAAAGATTCTTTAAAAATATTCCTCTTAAAACTACGGAAACGTTAAAATCATCTCCAGCTCTTTCTGTCGAGCTTCTCAGGGGTAACGTCAAAGAATGTCCTTCTGACTTTAGCTTTCAATACACAACCCCCCAGGCAGTAATAAAGGCGTTCAATGAGATCAAAGTAAAGTCAACTGAAGATCTTTGGGGAATGTCTGTTCGAGTGTGCAGGTCGTTTATAGAGACTATTGCGCCGCACTTAACTTTGATTTTTAATAAAAGTGTAGATCAAGGGGTATTCCCGGATTTAATGAAACATAGTAAAGTAGTTCCATTATTTAAATCAGGCGATAGTACAGAACCTAATAACTATAGGCCGGTCTCTATTTTGCCAGTGCTCAGTAAAGTGTTCGAAAGGTTGATGCTTACTCAAATGCTGCGTCACTTTAACACGAATTCTATTTTCCATGACCATCAATACGGGTTCACCAAAGGACGTTGCACTACGGACGCAGGAGTATCACTTATAAAACAAGTTTTCAACTCGTGGGAAAAAGCACAGGATGCCATCGGAATATTTTGCGACCTTTCAAAGGCATTCGACTGTGTTGAGCACGAGACGCTGTTACTGAAGCTAGAACACTACGGCATTCGGGGGGTATCCCTAGATTTATTGAAATCATACCTTCAAGAAAGAAAAATTAAAGTACAAGTCAACAAAGTTAACTCACTGGGTGCTAGCGTATCTATGGGCGTACCGCAGGGCTCAATATTAGGTCCTTTTCTATTTTTAGTTTATGTGAATGACCTGCCCCATTTGTTCCAAAATGAACCGCATATGGTATTATTCGCTGATGACACTTCATTGATTTTTAAAATAAATAGACGAACAAACAAATATGACGAAGTTAATAATGCCTTAATGAAGGTTCAAAATTGGTTTACAATAAACAACTTATTACTAAATGATAAAAAGACTAAATGCATTAGATTTATTTTACCAAATGTTAAAAGAAACGTATGTGATGATATATTATTAAATGATCAGAAACTTGAATTTGTAAAAGAGACTACTTTCCTGGGGATCACTGTAGATGAGAAGTTGCAATGGGGGCCCCACATCAGGTCTCTAGCAGGACGATTGAGCTCTGCAGCTTATGCTGTCTGGAAGATCCGTCAGCTAACCGATGTAGGCACGGCAAGACTAGTGTACTTTAGCTACTTTCACAGCATCATGTCGTATGGAATTCTGTTGTGGGGACAGGCATCCGACGTTGAGTCTATTTTTATCTTGCAAAAGCGTGCCGTCAGAGCTATATATAACTTAGGTCGTCGCGAATCTCTCAGAGAAAAGTTTAAGGAGATCAACATTCTGACCGTACCGAGTCAATTTATTTATGAAAACATTATGTATGTTAGGAAAAACCTACACTTATTTGTAAAGGTATCTGACAAACATGATTATCATACTAGACATAGGAATAGATTGAGTCAGCCTTTATTTAGATTGGCAAAAGTGCATAAGTCATTTCTGGGTTTCTGTGTTAAATGTTATAATAAAATCCCAGTTGAAATTCAAAATCTAAATGAAAGCAAATTTAAATTATGTATAAAGAAACATTTATGTAAACTAGCATACTACAAACTAAATGATTATATACAAGATAAAAATGCTTGGAGGCTAGCTGGTCCTACTCCACAGGATGTTTAGAGGAATTTTTGATTTTAATTATTAAATTGTACACTATGTTGTTAATTGTTGATGAACTTCTAAGTTTTTGTAAATGTGAGTACCCTGTAACCTATTATAATTAAGTAAGACTTGTAGAATATAGGTACTTGTGTCGGCTGGGAGCTGTCATGCTCACTTAGAGGTCTCATTGGCGGTGGCACGGGCACTGGATCGCCCAATTCCCTATAATATGGTTGAGTTGGGCGGTGCTGGTGTACGTGTCATGTTCGTGAACGGGCGCCGCCTATTGGGACTGGTCATCTCCAGGCTGTCTAAATATGTTGTCCTTGAGGTTCACTTCTTTTTCGTACCTTTTGCCTGAACATTAGTGTTACATTGTTCTCACATATCAGAACCAACTAAATGATGTAACAAAGAAATGTATTGTAAAACTGATTGAAAAAGAGTAACCATGGAGTTTCTTGCTCGTTCTTCTCCATAGGAATCTACACTTTGGAACGAGCAAATAGCTTCACTAGAGGACAGACGGACAGACTGACATGCTTAATTTTAAAGCTCATGTTATATACTTTTTTCCTTTTTTGCTTGCTTGACGTTCAAAAGTGCCTATTGTGGTCTAATTGAAATAAATGATTTTTGACTTTTTTTTTTTTTTTTTCAACGATTTTGATTTATTCAAAGACCTAGCTAATTATTGGGTCGGTATATTTAGATATGTGGTGATAAAATTAGAGTAAATACATAAAGAAGAATATTTTTTGACGATTTCAAGAATTACCAGACCGCATTTCAATTGCAGTAATTTGAGACACAATAGAATACATTATTGTTTTTTGAAAGCCCAAAGAAATTCGCTTTGGGTTTGATGAATGAAAAACGACTTTAAAAATGTCTTTAAAAAGTAAAAAAATAAGCCTTAATAACATAACATAATAAATTCATTTTTGTGCAAGTCATTTTCTAAAATCAATATAACTTGTTCTTCCTTCCATTAAAATTAGAACTACATACTTATTTTGCCAAATACTCTCAAATTTGTTTGAGATACATATTTAGAGATTAGAATTTTATACAAATCAATATTTATATAGCCTAACATTTGGTGCGTAGATATTACCAACATAGAAAAATGTTCGTATGTATGTATCACAGACATATTACCATTTTATTAAGTTTAAACAAAATCGTTTAAATGTTGATATCTCAATTTCAACCGAAATCCTAGGCTTTTATGACTATTAAAGAATTCTAATCGTACACAACTCAATACAAAAACCAAAGTGCGATATGGTTTTACGACTCTAATAAAAAACCCTAAACCAATACCAAGAAACTCTAAAATCAAATGAAAAAGTCAGAACAATAATCGATACAGGGGAAGTGTCATTTAATACTTTCATGAAAGATATCGAAGCGTGAATAGAAATAAGCTTTAATAAAAATAAGTTTTAATATAAAGTAAACTGTAATAAAAATATGCGTAACGATCAAGCCTTAGACGTGACTTGGTTCCAAGAAACCACAGATTTTGGTTACATTTACCAATATCCGGTTTTTATTACATTTAAATTATTCTATGTTATCGAAGTACGTTTTTATCAAGCTATGTTTTTATACGTTGACGTTATTTTTATGTTCGTTTGGCGATGAAAGAAAAACAATCGCTTTCAAGATGGGATGCGACAATACGTTGTCGGTTGGATCGAAGTTGTGACGTGACTTCGTACTAGATGCAGTCATGTTTTTTAAACATGCTACGTACATTGTGTTTTGAAGCGACTTTCAACTCGTTTGTAATTTAATAGTATTTTATATTAGTTTATTTTAAAATAAATTCCCTCAGTTCATTTGTAGCTTGATAACTATTTGCGGTTACCGTAAAATATTTGTGTGCGTAGGTATAGAGTTTTGTGAGTATTGTAAAAGCTTTAAGCCCTTTTAATTATTTGAAAATAGTAAAGAAGCCGTGAAAAGTGGGAGAGTCAACACGAATCGGCTTGAACATAGTGATACCATGACCTCACAGACTACCGGCATGACACAATATGTTCCGCAGGGCCGTGTGAGTGAGGTTATCGGAGGCCCAATCCTACCATTCTTTCTATATTACTCCAAATCCTAAATCTCCAAAAATTTATCCACAAATAAGACCGGCAACGTTCTTGTGAGTCCTCTGATATTGTGGGTGTCTATGGATAGTGATGATTGCTTTCCATAAGGTAATCTGACACCTCGTTTGCCGACTTATGATATTAAAAATGAAAAAATCGTGATGCATCAGAATCTTAGCTAAACTTTTAGGTATTTATCAAACTGGAAGTCACACAAATAATTTCAAATATGTTGAAATTTATAGCAAACTGCGTTCAAAAGTTAAACACAATACATGAGTAAAAAACAGCATTCATTTATAAAACCGATTGCAACGTGTATACGAGTACTCAAGATATACATAATGGACACGGTACATAATATACCAAGTTATTAAAGAAATAAACTCGTTTTTTAATATTCAACTTTATTTAATAAAATAAAAAGGTACATTTCTCGTCGTAGTGTTCCAACGCGAACATACTGGAACTAGGTCAACGCGCCTCAACGCGGCTTACACGAAAACTTTTCAGTCTATTGACGACATACAGAAGCTAGTCTTGAGTGTTATGATTTGCATTTTAATCCAGAAATTATGGTAGAACAAGGAAGACAACTTTATTCAGAATTTTCGTCTTCTTGTCTTCTGGTTCATTGACTTTTTGGAAATCAAGACGGTTTATATATTATTATCTCATAAAGTGGTAAACTACGGAATACCTGATGGTAAGCAATCAGCGCCGGCTATAAGCTTGTGCGTTGCTGGCTTTTAGGTAAATAAAAAGTTTTGGAAACCTATGTTTTTTTTAAAGTTGCCCCACACAAGGATGAAATTCCTGTGTCGTGGGTGCGTTCACAAACATTCAATTTCACATACACATGACTTTGTGGATCCCACAAAGTATTGTTCCGTGCGGGAATCGAACCCGCGACACGTTGCACGGCAGCCAGTTTCCAAGTTTAGTGTGATTTTTACTAACCCAAAGTTAATTTTGTGATCTACAATATAATCAAAGATTTGAAAATAGGATTAGTACAAGCACCATTAATAGTACTAATCTGTATTTTACTTTGGCTTTCCACGAAGACATAGAACTATCTAATTGTTGTTTTTTTTTTCTTTCTTTCTCCATAAAATTTTAATACAGTCTCCCATCATTATTATCAAAACCTTTCAAAGTCGTTCGTGTTGTATAATAAAGGTGACTATTACAATTTGATGGATCGACCTCCAAATTACTTGAGAAAGTTCAACCAAAAAATTTACTAACAAACTTTTTTGAAACTTAAAACATTTTTAGGTTTGTCTTAAGATTGGACATCTAACTAAGTTACATAAAGCTTTAAAAGAAAAAATTATCTTTCAGGTGCCGTTCTAGAATGTTCTCTTAATTAACAAATATAAAAAAAAAAATTGTTTAAGTCACACGTACATTTTTTGATTTTACTATTTATTTTTTAATGTATGATAGAACGTCAAACGAGTTGACAGATTACCTGATGGTAAGCAATCAGCGCCGCCGTTGAACACTCGTAATACCAAAGGAGTTACTACAAGTGCGTTTCCCACCTTTTACGGATAAGGGTTTCGGATATTTAAGGATTGGAAAAGGATGGGGGGAGGGGGTGAAGATTGGGCCTCCGCTAACCTCACTTACATAGCGACTGATTACTTATCATCAGGTAATCCGTCTGCTCGATTGACGACCTATGGCGTAAAACAAAATTCAAATTTATTACAAAACTAGTCTAATCGTTGGGAACAATGTTCTTTTAATTAGAAACTCTCCGATCGATAGTATCAGACCCTTAAAACACTAGAATTTAATGGCAAGACCCTACATTTTCTTCACAGACGTCTAGCGTTAAGATTCTATTAAAATTGGGACCTTCAAGTAGCTTTATGACGGTTTTACGACTTCTAAAAGTAGATATTTCATACGTTTGACCTTCAACAAAATTGTCATGTAGACTTCAAGTTTTGAGTTCTAGATATTGATTTGAAACTTTATCGTCCATTACGGCATCAGTCCCCGTCATTCACCGCGCAAACACAAACATACGAACATTATCGGCACTGTATAACGAACAGCAGTTTGGCACCTCCTTTATAATATCTGGATACTAAATAGAATTAACTATATGTTACATAAGTATATTGGGTACTTATATGCCTTTAGACTGTTGTGATTATTATATTTGCTAATATAAACAAGATGAATGGCAAATATTTCTCTAGTTATATAAAATTCCATTAAATTATTTTTTATTCAAGTTTCAGGCATAGTACCTAAGTAGTTCCTAATTGATTCTTAGACTCAGACCACCAAAGGTTACTTCTAAGAATAAATAAAGAAGAAAATATTATTATGCTTCGGAACTTTCCTATATGGAAAGCGTAGGTTACGCGGAAAATAAGTTCATTGAATATACACAATATTCCTACTAAACATATTTATGGTGTATTAAAATGAAATCAATATATTTTTACGCTGTAAAAAGTTTCATGACTTTAGGTGGTAGGTAGTTATCGTATTTATAAAAAATAAATAAAATTATGAATTAAAAAATCAAATGTAGGTAAAGTTAATTTAAGAAAGTCTCTAGTACTAACAATAAACCGATAAAAAATTACAGAATAAATATTATAGTATATTATCTATATTTTTATAAGATATATTGCACATATTTGTTCGCCCCATTTTCTGAAGCTTTTTGTAGTTTGTTTTATTAGCTGCTATTTTAGACCTTATTGCAATGAGTTGAATGAAGAAAATAGTACAGAGTTTCCACAAAAAGTTTCTCAATTCGTTTACGAACTATCAACATTTCGTTTGTTAGACAAATCATATTCTAAACACATCAAAGATCGTTTGTTCAAGATGGCATGTTTACAGGCAATGTTCATGTTGTTACTTTTTCACCAAAACTACTCCGTGACGAAATAACAAGGAATAATATGGCGTGATACCCAAGGCAGCGCAATTTGTGTGAGTGGAGGGAACGCGTGAGCAATTATAGACATTATAATTTGTACGTTTAGAACGAGAATCGCGTGACGGGAAATGAGTAGAATTTTTTGAGGGTACGTAATTATATTCGTATTTAGGATGTGGTTTATTGGATAACATCGAACGTGTGTAAGTGTAGGTCATGATTTTATGTAAAGTTATGAAGGTAAATAAGTGTAGCAATCTTTTACGAGCCGCTCGCTGTGGGCTAACGGTCCCGGTAGGCATGCACTTTGTGTGATTTGTTTCGACACTACCGGCCTACAGCATTAGGTCTATTAGAAATTTCACAGGAAAACAGTATTTATCTGAATAAATAATGAACATAAATATAAATACATTCTAGCTACTAAGCATGATTGCCACAGATTTTAGATAAGAACCTAGTTATTTAAAATAACATGTCCTTAATATTGTCCTTTCACAAAAATCTCTGGTATCTGTATTAATTCTATCATTTCTTCAACAGTGCCAACATCAGACGTGCAAGGAGTGTTGGGGAAGAAAGCATCGCTGCCGTGTGACATCCAACCGTTACACTCGGATGATGACGTGGTGATGGTGCTGTGGTTCAAGGAGTCTGATGGAGACCAGCCTTTGTACAGGTGAGAATTTTATACTTAATTCATATGGAAAATGTAAACATTCTGGATCTAGATCCAATATTAAACTTTGTTAGCCCAAGGTCACATCCAAATTAATAGATTGAAATGTGATTGGTGTAATAATGATCACCGTAGCTAATCGCGGGCGAGAAAAGTCTCTCTCTTTAAATTGTGCTGATTTCCGTTCCAAATTCCAAAATCGAAACCAAGTTGCATAGGTATCCAATCAAATTACAATTCAATTAACGAAAATAATAATCTTTAAATGGAAGTGTCAAAACAAGAAATGTGGACAGTAGACACCAATGTCAAATTAGGGACAAGTGATAATGCAGACACGGCGTGTGGGCCACTGTTAGTTTTAACGTCAGGAAACACTTCGACTAATGGTGACACAGGTATACAAAATGATATTGAAGTAATTAATTTCAGTGATGAGGACACTAGTAGCGGGGTTTTTGATGTAGAACATATGGAAAGTTTAGTTGATGAAACATGTTTGTGTTTCTGTGTTGAATGAATATGAGCTTAAAAACTCATTTGTATTAGTTATTATTTGTTATTAGGTCAAGCCTGTCCAAAAGGGTCTCAAAATAGAATAAGTAGGCTTTTTTCAATCGGATATCTAGTTAGATTACTAGATTGATGGAGTTAGATTTGAAATCCAAAACTTACGAGTAGCCTATAAAAAATCGAACACTCACAAATCTACCAATACGGACAACAAATTTATTCAAGTAATTTTGACTACTTACTAATCTTTGGAGTAGCAACAATTTTGAGTAATTACTAGAATAACTCAATTTATAACGTATACTAAATTACCGCCACCGCTCCAATTACCTATACTAATTTACTTCAGAAATACTAAATTGATCGAAATTTCCAGCTACGACATCAGAGGCCGGTCTATCAATCAACCGAAGCTCTGGTCTTCTCCCACGGTCTTCGGGAACAGAGCATTCTTCCGTGGCAGTGCGACTCCCGCGGTCCTCATGGTGGACAATGTGATAGCCAGCGATGCTGGCGTTTATAGATGCAGGGTAGACTTCAAGAATTCGCCTACTAGGAACCTCAAAGTTAATTTTACTGTTATAAGTAAGTATGTCAAAATAATTCCGAGTCGAATATTCAGTGATGCTTCAGCTTGTTTTTCAGTATCAACTACACACAAAGTGTCACGTACGTTTATTGAATTAAAACCTTGTTCATTTACTTTTTTTACCATTCTCTCTATTGTTAAACTTATTCATTCATAATAAATATAAAATATCTATCAGAAATTAATGAATGCATGTTATCAAATTGTAATATTCCCTTGTTTTTACAGTTCCACCAAATCGTCCAACGATATATGACGCAAAAAGAAGAGACAGAACGAAACTAGTGGAACCTTACAACGAAGGGTCTAACGTCCTGCTCATATGTGAAGTAGAAGGAGGTAAGCAGAACAGTATGTTTAGTCGGTAAACATCGGTCGGTAATTCTGGGTCTCTGGAGTCATTATTTTAATCATTATTCCCCAACAAAACGACACGAACTTTAGGTATACGGATTTGCGATTTACGAAACTGCATCAATATTACTTTTAGACAATCGTATACTTTTTATTATAACTTTCGTGAGACATTTTAAATTAATTATTATATTTTCGGCTCACTTACGTGAGTAAGCCGAAAACATAATAATCAATTTAATCATTTGACGAGACACTTTTGAGTAGCCAGTAGCAGCGCGACAGTCGCCGAGTCGCATGTCGCGGAATGCTGCTCATGAATATGGGCCTCTAGCATGGCTTGTAACTAGTCGAGTATCTCGTCAAATGATTACGTGAGTAAACCGAAAACATAATAATTAATTATATACTTGATTATAAAAAAACTACTTATTAATATTTCGAAAATCAAAACCTTTACACTACTTTGATTAGCCTGAGTTATGAAACTCATCTCATGAATCAGTCAAAAGTAATTTATTTAATTATTACAATTATTTCATTCTCACTGCACATTTTTTATTAATCGTCTTAAATGGTCTGTTAATGGGCGTGTTTAAATATTAAATTCAGTTACTTTTAATTTGTGCAGTTAAATGTTTTGTTTCATAATTATTGTAAAATTCCAAGATCTCAATAAATATATTTTTTTATTTCTTCACAGTGCTACTTCAAATGTTAATTCCTCAATGTATTAATTTTAAAACTGAGAGTTTACACTTTTGAAAATTTACATCATAAATATTCGTACAGAAACAAATTATAAGTATTTATTTTTGAAACAGCTAAAGTATGTGAAACTTCCTAAAATACAGAATAAAATAAAACTAAGATCAACAAATGTATTTAACCCATCCAATTAAAAGGAAATTATCTAAGTCACAGAGATTTACTGGAATAGTAAATGTCTCCGAGAGGCTGTTTAATCTAGGTCTAACATGCAGATGTCTTGGCTTAAGCTAATACAGCTTACTGTCAGGTAAAATAAACTGTAGGCACTGAAACGTAAAGGGAAATGAAACAAGATGTCTAGGATTTAGAACTAAGCTTAGAGACATCGTTAAAGTAGGTATTAACGTTAGTTATGCATCTTTTGAATTTGGAAACAAAGCAAGATTTGAAATTGTTAAACAAATGAAACACATCCTGGATAAAATTAATATCCGACGTGTCAAGTCAGCTGGAAGATCTGCAAAGAATGATGCTTAAATGTTTTTTATCATAATAATAATTCAGGCAATGAAAAAATTTTACTACAACTGCTCAATCGAAATAAATCAATTCACAGCTATACACAATATGAATTTTATAAAATCAAACTTTAATGGCCAAATAATAGATAAAACAAAACGAATCAATAACAAATCTTTAAAGCTATCCGGCCAATTAGAGGCTATAATTGTTGCCTTCGAGTGTTAGACAATAAAACATTCCGATCCCATAGCATAATTTGGGACCGGACAGAACAATGACATTATAAATGATGATCACACAGGACTCGTGGGTGTTAATGATGGGGAACATATGGGAAATGGTTATGACGTTGCCGATAACAGTCCCATGACACAAGCTACGATAATGGTTATACAACATCATTATATCAGAGAATATAATGCTATAGATATTATTAATAATATTAATTTTAATACCGAAACCGATAATAAACAACAAATTGGTAGTCAAGAAGTTCTAGGAATAGTTATTAGTTCCATGATTTGGTGTAGTTGGAACGGTTATAATTGAAAATAGATACGCTCTAATGAAATTTACTTTATCAACTATTTTGATAAAGTTCGGCTACAAAATCTGCTTACAATTTTCATCAAGGAAATCTAAAATAAGATTTTAAGCATTTTCAAAGAAACTCATACAGATTTTGAAACAAAATCAACATATTTCATTCTTCGATGAGACGAATCGTGTCAGAAAGAAAAATGAAGCCATTAAACCGGGTTATGATTGGAGGGACAATTTGTCAATAAGAATAATGATGGCGATCACGAACTTCAGATAATTATCGACAAAATATGTCTATTTCAACACCGTATCGATTTTTATGTTTACTGTGATTTTTCTTGGTATAGTTCTAATAATTTGTTAAATAAATCAAACTGACTATAGAAACAGCTCTATATAAATTTGGATGTATTTGAATAATACTTTTTCTTTCACAGGTAGACCAAGGCCACGGGTGACGTGGTATTTAGAAAATGTGGTGATAGACGACTCATTTGAGCAAAGAGCTGACGGTGTGACGGTGAACACGCTGACGTTCCCCAACGTTGGTCGCCAACATTTGAACTCTAGGCTTGTCTGCCAAGCCTCCAACACCAACCTCGCACAACCTGAAACTAAAGTTCTTATTTTAGATATAAATTGTAAGTATTATAACAAAAAAGGAAAACTTATCAAACACTTCTGAGATATTTTTATGTCTACAAATGAGCTGGCGGATCACCTGATGGTTAGTTATCGGCGTCGCTCATAAACATCCGCAACAAAATCATCTAGTAATAGCCCTTTAGGTGATCGTTGGAAGTTAAACTCCTTATTATCCGGACCGGAAACACAACGGAAGCTTTGTTTCCCGCCAGTTTTCTGTGAGGCCATGGTGCGGTCTAGCCAGCCCATTCATACCGAAGCTCGAATTAAGTGTATTTCGTACACACTTGAACGATTTTATAGTTTAAAGTATACAGTAAAATAGATTAAAACTGTTGTATTAATGAGATTGTCCATAAATGCATTTGTTTCCACAGTAAAGCCAATAACAGTAAACATACTTACAAAAGAAAAACAAGTATCAGCTGACAAAAGGTACGAAGTGGAATGCAAAACGACAGGTTCAAGACCAGAGGCTTACGTCACTTGGTGGAAGAACAATAGACAGCTGAAGAGAATGGCGAAAAATGTAAGTTGAATGCAGTTTTTAGAGTTAAGTGGTATTCAAATCAAAATGAGTATTTCAAGTAATGAGCTATTAGGAGACATTCAATAAATAAATTAATAGTATTTTTTACTGCTAGCTGACATCTCAGTTGGCGTAGTATCTGGGCAACTGGATATTGAGTGGGTTTGATTCTCACACCGAGTCACTCTTTGTGTGATCCACAGATGGTCGTTTTGGGTCTGAGTGTGATATGTGTCTGAATTTGTTTATCTATAAGCATCGTGATCGAATTCAAGCAAACGACACAATTGATTGCCAACGCATTTAATTTGACTTTTAACTTGTTGTAAATCACCTAAAACTCCCTTCTACTTTGGTATTTTATGATTGCTTTAAACTTTTTCATCTCAATCACAAAAAATAAAGCAACAAAAAATCCATAAAACACAAACAACAAGAACCTTAAGCTGAAAAATCTCATCTCACCAGTTTATAACCGCACCGATCTCAAACAACACAATCACTTCCAGAGCATACAATATCAAATGCAATTTAACGTAAAGCGCATCTTTTCACAGTTTTCCGAGAACAACGAGACGTTGAGCGTGCTCAGCTTAGTTCCCAGCGTTGAGGACGACGGCAAATATTTGACGTGCCGAGCTGAAAACAAACATATACAGGACTCTGCTATCGAAGACAAATGGAGGCTCAATGTGCACTGTGAGTACTGATGAGGTTTTGAAGGGTTTTGATTGAGCACATCAATGGGTTTGGCATTTCCACGTGTTTGGTGTATTGTTGAAACAGTGGAGGTATTCACAAGATTGGTTTAGATTTGTGAAGAGGGTTTTGGGATGTGAGAATTTAGTGTAGGGACTATTTTATGTATGACCTATGTATTATAGTAATAAAAAACCGTTTTAGAAATATATTCCATGTTAGTAGTACTATTTATTGAGACGAAACAAGAGGTTTATATCTACCTATATAAAACTTAATGATAAAAAGGTTTGTTTTAAATGAAATTTCAAACATTTAATAAAGTGTTATAAATGATATCGATGATAAAAGAAATATCAATACTCAATCTTAAGATTATTTAATTCCTAAAGTCTGAGTCGTATAAAATTTAAGCACCGACGTATCCACAGTTTCACGTATCTTCTGTTGAAAACACATTCCGCTAACGAGAACAAATGGAGGCTCAGTGTTCAGTGTAAGCATTAATCAGAATTGAAAGGATTTTGATTATAGGAACGATGATGGATTCCGAGATTCGGATTCGGTATTTCTTCCTTTGCACACGAATTCATCTTGTTCATAAGAGAAAAGGATTTTGGCAGCTCTGGTTTCGAATCTGACGTATTATTTTCTACGACAAAATTGTCGTGTTGTCTGTAATATTTATTACGAAGAAAATCTTTGTTTTAAATTAACATTACCGAATGTAAAACCATCCTTCGTCGCTCCAAGTTGTTTTGTTTACGAAGTTCACAGTAATTCGCATTTCATAACTATGGCAAAGAGTTCGGGGCGCGCGTCGACTAAACTTCTACGTTCCGAACTATGATGTGTTACAAGTTATCCAACATGAATTTTCTCGTTTATTTTCTACTAACAAACTTTACAAATATCTTCAACTTCGTCTGAACCAACTTTGAGTTTAATGAAAAAACTAATTCTGAACTAAATATCGTACCCCCAGTGGAAAAAAGGCATAAGACGAAAATGGTGATTTTTCAGTATGGCGAAAAAATTGAATTTATGGGCATATTTACTTTATTTTTAAACGAAGAAGAATTATTCTTGTATCAAAAAAAGGAGAAAAAAAAGTTGCACTGCGTGTTGTATTTAAGTTAGTACTAATGTTTATAGTTTATTAGGAATTGTAAAAATAAAATATTATGCTATTTTTCAAAATGTAATGAAATACAGGATTCTGAGTATCAAAATGTATGCCAGACTTTGCCAGAAAAGAAAAAATATTTCAAAAAGTATGTTGTATTAAAGCAGTAATGAACTTGTAAATACAAACATTTATGCTAGTATAAGTAAGATTACTACATTATTTCCTTTATTACAATTATGTTTGAAATGTATTAGCAATACTTACCCCATTTTTCAATTTAGGGGCTTGCTAAGGTAACTTAAATAAACAAAGATAATTACTTATTCCATTATTATGTTAAAGAAAAGTTAGCTGCATATTAACACATATTACTTAGAGTTAATATTTATGACTAAAGGGAAAAAAAGGAAATGCATTTTTTGTGTTCATTTTTTTTTTATTTCAGGCAAATTATAATTATAGTTTTGGCTACAATTAAAGTTTGTACTAGCAACAATAAAATTTGACAGTAATAATTCAGCAATGTGGAGTTTCGGTGAAGATTACTACCACTAATGACTTTTTTTTAAATGATTAACTAATCAGTAGATCATTTGTTAAGATTTGTAACAATTAACGAAATAACTTCTTTCTTGGCTCCGTACAACAAAATATTATGTTCTCTCAATAAAAATCTAAGATAACAAGCAAAAATTATTAACAAATCAAGGTACTTTACACATTGCCAGTACCTTTTGTTTTAAAATAATCAACAAATAAAAATACAAAAAAAAACCTTCTTTAAGCAATAAATCAAAAAATTCTTGTTCCCTTCTACGTTATCTTCGTTCTACGAATTCCTTCATTACCAAACATTCTAGGCTATAGAATGTTTGGTAATGAAGGGATATAAATGTAACAAAATATTATTATTTTCTCAATACAAATCTATGGTAACATGACATGCATAATTTGTTAACAAAATAAGACCTTTGATACTTTCACAATACCTTTTGTTTTAAAATTATTAATAATCAATATGTTTATACGTATGAATATAAAAATTCAACAAAATTCAAATTAAAATAATAATGAGATCAAAAATACGGGAACTAGTAAAGTTATTCTTCTTCAGATGAATCAAATACCTCCAAATTTGGAGATTCAGTCACTGGTAACAAATTTCTATAGAATGTTTGGTAATGTAGAGGTATAGCATTTGTATCACACAGGCTAATTAAGTCTTTAAACAACGCGTCAGAAATAGGTAACAATTGAGCATAAGCAAGTGGAAGTTCATTAACATCTACAGCATTGGCATTATTTGATTTGCGTGCGCGCGTCGTCGTCGTACGATTTGTAGTGTCTAGTACCAAATATTCACTTTCGAAATCATATTTGAATAATAATTTATTTGGTGCATCGGGACTTGTTTTGATTTCTTTAATTTTTGAGAAAAATACTTTATGCCCGTTTGTGTCTTGTGACCAATTCTTGCTTTGTCGTGACTTGACTTTTTAGGTTGTAAAAGTCATTTTGATTCATTTCTTTAATTACAAACTTATTTTGTACTTTTGAATTCATGATTACTTCGTACAGTTGGTCAGGCGAGTACAATGTCTTATTTTTCATATTTTTCTCGATGCAGGCATGCATTGAGTCGCCTTCGTTCTGAGTGTGGCCAGTTTGTAAAAATCTGTGTGTAACTTCTACGTTCAATACACGTGATACATAAATATACATCGCGAATATGAACCGATTTCTGTTCTGGCCCGAACAATTATCTGAATACAGTGAAATTGACTTTATACCCCTATTAACTTCAGATTTAATGAAGTGTAATAAGCAACTAGCGATTTCATTCGCACCCCTTTTTGCAATTTGTGCATGCCATAGATAACAAAACCCTTGATGGGATATTAAATTGTACACAGTGAAATTGTATGCGGGGTATTTCCTTTTATAATGGAAAATATTCACATTAGATTGCGGTAAACTAAGAACCTTTTCCAAGTCAAAAACAGCTACAGTTTTCACATTAGGATCTGCTGATTCTTTTTCAATATCCTTCATATTTCGTATGATGTTTTTATTTTTTATATGACTGTCATAATCCTCTTTCAGTTGTAATTTACCTTCTTCAGTTGAATTGTCGTATTTGCTACATAAATTGCACAAATCCTTCTTCGGCCGGAAAAAAGAAAGGTTAAAATGTGTATTAAATATTTGATTATATTGATATTCGCTTGCCACTTTAGTATTACGAAAGTTTTCATTTTCTGATATCCAATCTTTGTACAAACGATGCATTTTTGAGATATTTAAGTCTTGTGACAAATATTGACGGCTGGAATTTTGTCTAAGATAGTGAGATTCGATACAAGGAAAGGACTGAATATGTTGAATTGCACTCTGTTCTGTTTCGCTGGCTGTTCTATGAGGTCTATTGGTATGTTTTCCTCGAAGGTCTGTTATTTGGTCCCCATTAGCATATTTATCAATGGCAGTGTAAACTGTTCTTTCTTTAATACCTAGAGTATTAAGAAACATAGTTTTGCACACTTTCAAATTAGTCACAAGGCATACATCGTTTTTTGACGGCAAATAATAAACCAGGGTACGATTTCGTTCACGCTTACGCTGAATTTTCATAACTTTAGGTTCTATAATCTCAGTGTTTTTCAAAATGAATTGCCATTGAGTCTCATGGTTACCACAAGCCCAAAATTGCTTAAATATTACCAACCTCCTGTCGCTGGGTATTTTTTCAAAGCATTTAAGCTTACACTTGCAAGGCTCTTGCATTTGTTTTTGAGGCTGTTGACCTGTATTTAATTTGATTTTTTTTTGTGTTTGAGACCATTTTTCGGGATTACGCTTTCTTTTTCTAGGATTTGTATTAGCTTCAGTTACTAACACTGGACGAGAATTCGTTGCTTCAGGTTCTGTGGTGGAATTATATCCAGCTGGTAGAGTTTCAACGTGGCAGGCTATGATTGGAGGGTCTGAGTGAGGAACTATAGCTGTGGCAATTGAAGAGACCGGTGGAGTTCTATCAGGGCTTGTAGATATAGGTTCTGTTTCAGGTTCTGTGAGAGTATTATGTCCAACTGGAAGAGTTTCGTCGTTATAACATGTTATGGATGTAGGTTCTGCTTCAGGTAGTATAGCCGGGGTATTTTCAAGAGTCTGTGGAGTTTTTGCAAGACTTGTAGATGTAAGTTCTTTTTCAGGTTCTGCGGCAGTATTATGTTCAACTAACGGAAATTCATCGCGACATGCTATGGATGCAGGCTCTGCTTTACGAAGCATGACCGTAGTACTTTCAAGAGTCAGCAGAGTTCTTGTAGGGCTAGTAAATGTAGGTTCTGTTTCAGGTTCTGCGGCAGTTATGCTCTTTTCAGGAAGTGGTGCATTATACCAGAACGTGGATACGGGTTCAAGATCGGCATCATTCGGCAAAGGATTAACTCCTTCTATGTAATTTCCTGATGATACCGCTAAATTTTCATAACTGTCTTTGTTACCCATAGAAATTGTTTTTTGAGGATTAGATATAAAAACGACAGTAGGTGACGCTATAAAAATTAAATTATTATGAGTGGTGGAAATTGGAGAAGAGAAAAGTGTAGAATTACCTAAGCAATCTCTCAAACTATAATCGAAGTCATTCAATATTGCAGATGGTAAAGTATTGCCTAAGTCTGCTATCGGACTAGGACTCGAACTTGGTAAATATTCAGATACCGGTGGTGAAAATGGCTCTTCATTCGAAGACTCACTAATTCTGTAATTTACTGTAGATTGTCGTCTGCTACTTCGACTTGTTGACGGCGCGGTGTACATAATATCACCACGACTGACTTCATAATTTCCAGATGTTTGTTCTGCTTCTGTGTCGTCGTCTGTAAATAAATTATTTTATTATAAAATGTAATATAAATAATATCATATTAAGTTGTTACTAAAGACGTCTTGCTCACAAAATAAGGTAAGTTAAGGTTAGACATTATTATTTGTCTGACATCCTCGATGCCACAATTATTAGTGTCTATAGGACGAAAGGCTCCGGGTTCGATTCCCGGTCGGACAAACAAACAAAATTTACTAAACTGACTTGGGTCTGAGTGTACGTACCCCTTGCCAAATCCTTTACAGAATCCTTAGTTTAAGACCAGGTAATTAAAGTGATATGGCTGAGATTTTTAGATGTAAGTATATAAATATAACGCCTCGTTAGTTTAGTGGTATAAGTCCTGGGTTCAATTCCCGGGTTGAAAAAACTTTGTGTCGGTTTTTTCGGACACAGATCGATTACTTTTATATAAATATACTAGCTTCCGCCCGCGGCTCCGCCCGCGTGGTAACTACTTACGGGGATAAAAAGTAGCTTATGTTACTCGTTTATAACGTAGCTTTCGAATGGTGAAAGAACTTTTAAAATCGGTCCTGTAGTTTCGGAGCCTATTTATTACAAACAAACAAACAAAATAATATTACCTCTCTATAATATTAGTATAGATTAAACAATAATACCTAGTTAACGATTTTGAAAGTATCATGTACCTAATATAAATATTTACAAATACACATTTTGTTATAACATCTATGGTATGTCTTTACAAATTAGAAATAAAATTACACGTTAGTAACAGAAATTAATTTTATAATAATAGACAGCGAATCATTCATATAGGTTCCCCTAGTTTGAGACCAGACGATTGCTGTAATTGTCTAGCGCACTTACATACTACTTGAACCACTAGCTGGCGGTAAGATAAAACATCGTGAGGAAACTGCACCTTCATTCATTCAGAATGTGTAACCACGATATTGTTTTGGTTCCGGTTACAAAGGTCGGACGACAGTCGCTCAATGTTATTGATTATACAGTAAACACGTCATTGTGGAATAATTTATTTTTAGCTTTTATAAGAATTAAATCTAAATGTACTTACCTATTAACTTCAAAATTCTTCTCGCCCTACTGTGCTGTGTCCGGTTATACATTTTCAGGTCACTTTACTTTAAAATAAGAAGAAAAACCACTCAATTGTTGTTGTTTTGTTTTCGCAAATGCGTAAACGCAGCTATTACCTTGACCTAGAAACGGGCACTGACTGTCAAGCGCGTGGATACGCACCGCCCCCTCCCCCCTGCATCGACGTATTCACGCTTATGTTCCCGCTGTCTACTCCCGCGCCGCTGTATCAAATCTTACGTCCACGTACGCAATGAAAATATTCTAGTGGAAGAAAGAAGTAATAATTCTTATGTTACAGCCGTGCTGCAGTTTGTAGTCTTATGTTTCGACGTAAAGGAAAGTTTTTAGTGGAAAAAAGCAGTAATTGTTATTATTGTAATTTATTTTAAGTTCATAAGAAGTAAACAGTCATACTGCTGTTTTTATTTTTTAAGTTTATCTTTTTGGTTAAGTAAGCGCATTTAAGATAATTTCCTTACCTAGTTAATATAACGAATAAAAAGATAATCGTGTATACAAGACTAGCGATGTAAAAAAAGCAAACGCATTTAAATCATAATATTTGTTACTATTTATTTTCTACATTAAATTTTAGGTATAAACATATTATTAATTAATATGTCATATTTTTTAATTTATTATTTGCGTTATATCACATAATCTACTAATCCTTAAGAAAAAAAGTGATGGAATATAAATTCTCAAAACTATTTTCTTGAATTAATTCGTCAAATTAAACAAGAAAAATATGAAAAAAATATTGCGTATGTATCTTTAAACGTACTTTTCAAATATGATAAAATCGATGATTCAATGTAAATTCACTTATGCCTATTTTCCACTGAGGGTACGATATCTAAGATGGTGGTCTTCGAACACGTGTCTTTGCTAGTATAGAAACAAGTTAGTAATACCACTCAAGTCATCCCACTAATTCTGCTATCAACTTGTGATTGGATAACTTTCAACTTGGCAGTTTCTTTGTTAAAACACTAAAAGACTATTTTTCTTAAGTTCAGTACCTAGTCTTCGAAATACATTGTAGTCTGTACAAATATAAGGTTGAATGATGTTCGAAAATTGAAATTGTTTATGTTTGATTAAATTTATGTTTTGATAGTAAAAGAGCAATTTTTATTTTATTATTCTTGATACAACATAACTACATTTGACGCGACTCTTGAGACTAATTTCAGAGATAACAAAATAAAATGAAGTGTTATTATTTGAAACCAGATTAAACAATAAAACTGACATTTTATGTTAACAATAAAACTTTTTAAATGCTTTCATAAATTATATGCTTTTTCGTCTATCGAAATATGAATATAATATACACTCGGGGTGTAAAAAGAATCACTAACAGAAAATTAAACATTCTTAAAGAAAATCGAAATATTTTTTTTCAGTTTTAAGCTACTATATCTCTCTGTACCTAAAGACTATGTTAATCGATTATTGTTATAAAGACATTTATTTTATTTTTTTACAATGATCTTCTTTTAATCAAATATTTCTCCTAACAGATGTCCCAATAGTGGATCTGAAGATGGGCTCCAACCTCAACCCTGATGAGATCAAGGAAGGTGATGACGTTTACTTCGAGTGTACTGTCAAGGCTAATCCCAAGACGCACCGCCTCGTCTGGTTTCATGATGTGAGTAATTGGTATCATCGCATTGTGTTCAACACATGTTGCAACTATTTAGACAATTATCTGGAAACATACACCGTGTAATATCGTCATTTTGGTCCTATGGGGATTAAATATAACCAAGGATTTGTGTCTTGATTTTTGTTGATTTAGATCAGGTATACTCAAAGGGTGCTGTGCGGTGCCTTGGGGCTTTTATAATTCATTTTTTATAATGATTATTTTAAATGTTCTTGTTATTTCTAGGTTCCGTAAAATGTTGGTTTGAGAACAGCTCATCATAATGTAACTATTAGAGCGAATTATTAAACTAATTAAATATTTAAAAATTGTAATGGTTTAATCTTGCTTAGTACGGGAAAAAAATCTATCCATTCCAGTTTGTTCTAAGAACAAAATCAGTCATTCAACGTGACCTGATAACCACGTTTGCGACGACTCGACCAGCTAAACAGTAAACTTTATTGTTATATAACAGTTTTATATCAATATTCCTTTTATTCCTTTTATTCATTTTAAATTTAGGTAAGCTAAAAAGCAAAAACAATTTTACTCGCATAAATAAATTCACACAAATTTCAGTTTAATAAGCCATAAAATATTTACGCTGTGTACAATTACTTGCTTTCAAGTACCAGTCTCCTGAAAGTTTCATATAAAGGTTTCATGGAATTCGTTTGTAATGTAGGTACTATTGTTGAACTCGTACAGTTATAAGATATTTAATTTATAACTCAATTTCATTGGAAGACCACAACTTAACATAGCTGGTTGTTATTCTCCGTACTGCATTATGGAGACTAAGTACCTATATATTATGTTTCACTGTATAGGTTACATTTCGTTTTTGTCTCAATGTATCTTCTTGTATACTTTTTTTTTTTGAGGGGACATTCATCAAAGTTCTTTTCTCGTCATGGACCTGTCTATATGAGGTGTTCAGACTCGTACTGACTAAACTACTCTTTCTCTTGCTCTGGGCATGGCCCACGGTAAACTATTGAGCTTGTAATCCCTGACATTTTCTTAAACAAGAATACTTATTCTCTCGTATTCATTAGGTACCCTTTTTTATTTAATGAGAGGTAAAGTAAAATGTTAAGATAAAATGTTAGATGCCTTTTTAACTGCCTTGATATGTGAAAAATGTTAAATGTGACATGTCTCTTTTTGGGCCAAACACTTCCATAACCTGTACCTTTTCAGAATAATAGTTTTCCGTATTGTCATCATATTGTCCAATTATATTTATAAGCTCATCATTCGTTACAGAAAACAATACGACAATGATCCTGAATGATCTATCTTTATCTTCTTTTCCGTACAGAATTCAGAAATCTTCCACAACGAAGGTGCAGGGATTATCCTGAGCGCTCAGAGCCTTGTACTGCAGAGTGTCACCAGAGCAGCTGCAGGAGACTACACATGTATGGCAGCCAACAGTGAAGGGAAAGGAACGAGTAATCCTGTCACTCTGCTAGTTAGATGTGAGTATCTCTTTCACATGAGTATTCGTAATGTCTCTCCCAACTACAGCCATTTAATCAATTTTGAACTATATGATTTTGATATAATAAGTATGAATTTCGAATAAATAATTAATTGTTAAAATATTTGTGACCTTATAATAAGGGCTTTCAATTTTATGTGAGCAACGACGGTCCAAACATTCTTTCAATTTTTTAGCATTTAGTATCTTGTAACCTTGGATTAAAGATCAATATCAAAGTAGTGGATCTTGTATTAAAATAAATGTTATATCTATACAAAATATATGCCAAAACTATTCTGCATCTATTCGATTTCAGCGACACACGCTTTGACTCCTATTGCAAGCATTTAACACAGCCGGTCTCAAAGGACCTTGCATAGGGTTGCTTAGGTTAAAATTATCAAATATTAATGTACAAATATTAATGTAAAAGCCAAACGTTAGATGTAGATAATTAAACTAGTTGATATATAAAGCACTCGCTAAATAGAAGTGAGTCAGTAGTCAAACTAAATAGGCACTTACTTATGTAAGTTTCCAAATAAAAAAAGAACAAAGTAGCTATTTTGGTCTTTTGATCCGTAAAACAAGAAAGAGAAAACAATAGTACCTCTAGGAAAAGTAAAAGACACCTAAACGGCATAATAAAACCTGGTCACCACACGACCTTTTAAATAGTAAAACGGAAAAGGGTCGAGTGACCGAATGAAAACTTGATACCTTTGATATTGCTTAAACTATAGTTTTATAGATCTCCAGTTTCTTACCAAGAATTGTCGCAATTGAAAAATAAATTTCTAGAAAAAACATCTGTTGTCATATTTTATTATATGTCAACATTATTATATATTAAAAATAGGAATTTAAAATATGACATTCAATTCAATTTCATTTTTTATCTCATCATAAATTTCAACTCCGATAGGAAATAAATGCTGTTCATTCCATTAAGTTAACAATTTTTGGAATATATTGAGGTTACATACTTTAACTAATATATCAACCCTATTTCACTGCTCACTATCCTACTCTGAGGATAACTACGTTTTAGAGTCGGTTTAGAGTCGCTTTGAGACCTGGATCGAGCGATATAATAATGCTTTAGAGAAAGATGTCCTGTGGACATTTGGCTGAATAATGGCTAGAGAATTGCTGAAGTAATAAGTGTTTTGTTAGCCAGTTCAAACAATGTAATGGGAAGTTAAACTCTAAAACAATGTCATTGAAACAATCAACGTCTGGATATTTGGTTCGGGGCTTTGAAACAACTGTAGTACAATTACTAGCTTCTAAATTGAAAATGTCCGCATTCATACAATCTATGTGAATTGGTGATAATGGTTGAATGAAAAAAAAATACAATTTATTTTAATTAAAAAATAAAGCTTCTAAATGAAAACACAAGCTGTAACAAGCCAAAGAAAGAACTTATTTTCAAAGCGAAAATCCTCTGCACTGTTTCCCAAACTGTCAGTTACATGTACACAACGAAATAAAACCACTTCGCTAACAAAACTATTTTCCGCACCGAAAACCAACAATTAAGAGCAAGCTCCGTAACTAAAAGACCCGAAAATATTATCACTTAAACTGTACAAAATTATATTAAAATTTGTTGCCACGAAACAAAGGGAGCTTAAAATTCCCTCGGGGCCCGTAAACCGTCCCTGCTTCCGTCAACCACGGAAGTGATATAAAAACCTGAGAAAATGCAATTTACTTGCAAAATGGATGAGGGGTTGCACGTTGGACCCCAAATTGTCTTTTTATATAAACACGAGCCTATTTAATAGCAGATGGTACCTGACTTTTAGACCTTTACTTTGATCAAAGTGAGATGAAAGTCATGTTCTATGATAAATATATTTGTCGTAAATAAGTTTGACATTTTAAAATTCGTTAATAAGTTTAAAATTCTTACTGACGCATCTTGTAATAATAAATATAAAAATATGTTTATATGCTAAATAAAATATAAAAAAATATACATTTTAAAATAACAATTCATTTTGAATAGTCATCCTAAATTCGTACCAAAGGACCAACTTCTATTACAAAGAACCCTAACATTGAACAGAAACGCTATCAAACCCAGTTAAACTAGTTCCTACGTCACAGGTCAGACTTTATCATTAAAAGTGCTGGCCAAGTGTTCAGAGGTGCAGTTTTATAACGATCGCCAACTTCTCCCTTTCTTGTTAGACGACGTAATATAATACGTCATACTTTAAGAACTTTACTTATTGTTTATAGGAATTTATTACTATGATGTTGAAGTTAAAATTCAAGTTTACAAGATCGGTTTTATATTGTAACGTTTTATGGTTTGTAATTTGCATTAGGTTTGTGTCATGTTTCTGGCTATTGCAATATGGATCATTTTGCTATGAGTACGATGGGTTAAATGATGTCTTACAACAAACATTACTTATAATATTCAAGTTGAACTTTTTGATGCTAACTGATTGTAGTTTGTGTATAATATCGTAGTACCCTAGAACCTAGGGTATACTTTTGTGGGTTAAATAGTTCTTTCTAAAATTATCTAGACATAATAGGCAAACAGTGAAGAAAAACATCTTTTTCGTATGATTCTTCTCATACGAAAAAGGTTTGAGCATTAATTGCCTTTGCCAAATGGTGATGATGTGTGTGATATGATTGGTGTAGTAAAAATACAGTAGTCACAAATACAATACTCACTCAATTTAAATATGATCAAGATAACTCCTTACTAAGTTAGATGATTGTAGACTTAATATCAATACAACTATATGACTGAAATTTCCTTGTAGATGCTCCAGTCTGTGCTGAAAGAAGAGATGGAGAACTGTTTGGTGCCCTCAAACAAGAAACTGTATCCCTTCACTGTTCTGTGGATGCAAACCCGGCACTCGTGTCTTTCCATTGGACTTTTAACAACTCTGGTGAACAAACGGAACTGCCACCAAAGTAAGTTATGGAAATAAAATAATGTTTTCTGGGGCATAAAAGAGAGAGTAATATAGGTTATTTTATTGGTATAAGTGTGGGAAGAGCCATGCTTCGCTACAAATGGGCCGGCTCGACAGAAAATTGGCGTGAAGAAATACGTTATGTTTCGCCGTGTGCGTCAGGTTACTGGAAGTTGGGCTTTCAGTAACCTGACTCACACGGCGACTCACTCCTTGCCCTCCCATCCTCAATTGTCAAATCTCCTATCCTAAAATCCATGTTAATCCGGACAAGAGGCCGGCAACGCACTTGTAGTAGCTCCTTTGGTGTTACGAGTGCTCATGGGCGGCGTTGATTGCTTACCATTCCGTCGGCTCATTTGCCGACCTACTACATAAAAACATGAAGACAAATGTCGTAAGAGACGATTCTGTAAGATACTCAAGAATCGATACCCATGATTCTTGCAGTTATTCGCTGATTTGCTCGACTATCAACTAGTTGAACGAAAACAAAAACGTAAAATTCCGCTTTAAAAACCTAAATAAAAACTTGTAACACAAAATAAATGTATTCTCAAGCTGATCCTTACAAAATTGAATTTGGTTATATTATTTCCTTTTGACATTTCGAAAACTTCGTATCTCATTGAATATTCAACGGGAGCAATGACCTGAACTAGGAATTTAATAACCATTAGCGAAATTACAGATGATTTAGGCTACATTTTAGTATCAAATATGTTACAAATATAATCATCAGTAAATTGCGTAGGCTTCATAAATAGCATGGCAAGTGGTAACGAAATATATGTAGGTATATTAAAATTCCTGGTAATTTTTGTTTGTAAAGTGTTTAATCTACAAAATTATGTGGAAACATATTCAGTAAGCTTTTAAGTTTTTGGAAATATATTGTGCTATCAAAATTTATTTTCATTACCTTTTGATATTAAGTACTATTACCAGTGGATTTCGCTTGCGTGGTCTAAGGAAAAAAGTGAAGACTTCATCACTCCTTAGCCACCTATTTATACCCAGCCACGTACCATTCAATAAAAAAACAAATCCATTTTTTCACTCTTTTTGTTTTTTCTTTTCTTCAGTAACAACAATTTTTTGTGTTTATAACGTTAAAGGTAAGGAATTTTATGTGGTATATAGCTGACGGATTACCTAATGGTAAGCAATCGACGATGCCCTTGGACACATAACGATAGCCACCGAACACCAGATCAGTTGCATGTGTGTTGCCGGTGTTTTGGGGCTAAGGGGTTCTTGGCATGTAGGGATTTGCGAGGGTAACCTTATATCCGGGTATATGATAACGCTTTACACTTTTTGGTGTTTACCTATTAATAATGCTGTATCGGTCTGTCCAGGTTATACAGCAGTCATGGGCACACATCGACCCTTAACTACACTCCGACTACAGACATGGAATACGGGACCCTGGCCTGCTACGGAGAGAACGCGGTGGGGCAGCAGAAAGTACCCTGTCTCTTCCAATTGGTTGCTGCAGGTGAGAATAGTTTTGATAATCGTTAATTATTCATTTCAATTAACAGCTTAAACGTTGATGCTACATACGTTAATCATGGAAGAAAGTACCAATCCTATATTAAGCTCGAGACGTTATAAGCAAAATAGTGAGTATTGAGTTGACTAAGAACTGTATTTTATAATTTGGGATATTATTGTACCTAAATGTTCATTGAATTGTCCTCATTTTCTGTATTTTTAATTATGTTTCCTCTTCTCAGGACGACCATTTCACCTACAGAACTGCTCGGTAGCCAACCAGAGTATAGACTCTTTAAATGTGGAGTGCGTCGAGAACTTCGACGGTGGTCTCCCCCAGACCTTCCTCATGGAATTGCTGGAACTGCCTTCACTTATTGTAAGTTACTTATAGACATGTTGCTTCTCTTTATATTTAAGTTGCTTAGTCATAGAATATCTACGTGTAGGTATGGCACTTATAAAACATACACCATAAGGGGAGTACCAATACCCAATATTAGTCCATATCGAAGAAAACACTTCGAAATTCATCATCCTCATCATCAACCCGTTTTCGTCCACTGCTTGACATAAGCCTCTCAAATTAACGCCAAACGCCATTAAGTTCGAAGTTCAGCTCCTCTCATCTGACAACTAACCTTGCGAATATCGTCAGTCCAGATGGCCGAAAAATTAAATTTTGAAATCGGTTCTTAGAAATTAAGATCTCTAATAAAAATAAAAGATAATAATTCTTATAAAATTAAACAATTAAAACTAGTTGCAGATTTGTGCAAAGGGAATTAGCTTGGAATAGTTAGTGTTTATTGTAACGTGACAATTGAGAGCAAACAAAGAAAATAGGTCATAGCGAAGCTCCTAGCTGCTGTTGTTATTTGCAACGTTGTCTTCTTATTCCAAGACATTTATACTTATTGTGTACAATAAGAGCTTAATTACATTTATATATTTTAATACACAGTGTATATTTCTCGAGCACTTCTAAGATTTACTCCACAAAATTTTAATAACATTATTTAGATGTTTTTATGGCAGGGAGCAATAAACAGTCACATCATCTTACAGATAGTAAGCAATCAGCGTTGACCATCTTAGCAACACTGTAGTTAAGCGTACGTTGACTGCCTTTAAAGATAAGAAACATGAGTGATTGGTTATTAAGAGATTTGGGAGTATGGGTATCAGAATGAGGAATGGAGAATGGGGCATCCAGTAACCTCACTGACACGACGATGCACAACGTAGACGTTGTTTCAAGCAGTTTTCGCAGTTGGCCATAGTATTGCTAGTCATAAAAACATAGGTTTCCCAAATGTATGCTAGCTAAAAATACAATATGACCAAGAGAGATCAAGCGTTTGTCTTTCAAGAGAATAGAAAAATCATTGTTTGGGGATGAAATTGGCATGTGCCAAAGTTAACGCCCGTCCCTTATTTTAAGTTGTGTACTCCATAGCGAGCGCTCAAAACATGCTCATAATACTTAATAGATATACCATACTTTCGACATTTCAGAGTATGATTCTCAGAGTATGATCTTCAGAATTGATTTTTATTTGCATACAGTGCGTGCATACAAAAACAAATTGAGAACTCACCGTAGATACAAAAAAGAATGTTACAACTAAAATAGGTGGTCTTATCAAGCATGGCGATTTCTTTATTTTTTATTAAATCCCATAGTTCTTACTTAAAATCACATACAAATAACAAACTTAAGTACAATTGTTAACAATGCTCTTTCTCCTCAGGTCCGCTACAACGTCTCAACAAACAGGACTCCTCCCTATTTCGAGATCCGAGGTCTTCCACCAGGAGTTAGCTACAGGATCGATCTGTATGCAGTCAACGCTAAAGGGAGGAGTGATGTGTCTACCATTGAAACTGTCACGCTCAAAGGTCAAGCTAAGTTTACCGGTAAGTTTTTTATTAAATGTTAAAGTAAACAGTATAAGGTACTTTTTTATGAAATAGGGTGGCAAACGAGAATAGTTATATGGATAACCTGATGGTAAGCAATCTGCGCTGTCTATGGCTATCCTCAACATCAAAGGAGGTACGAGGTCGTTGCCGGTTTTTGGGGACTAGGCTTTTGTAGGGATTGATTTCCTATGTAGAGTATTACTCCGGTTGAGCCGGCCCACGAGTATGAAAGCTCGCACCACGCATCAAAAAAAAAAAAATATTTTATGCTCTTCATTAAAATCTCTGTTTGTACAGCGATAGTGCTATCTACGTTTTGTCAGGTTACAGCTATCATTTTTATACTATGTCTGCAAACTAGCTCACAGACTAACACATGCAAGTGCGCTGCCGGCGTTTTAGAAGTCATAAATTTCGAAATTGGATTGACCATTATAAAAAGTTGGGTAAAAATATTTTTATTTAAAATAAATACTGACTTTCTGATGTGTTAAATCCTACGTACAATCTACGCTTGTTGTATGTACGCTAACGAAGGTAAGAATACAAAAACTTATCACATTTTTAACATCTACGAGGCCAGTATACATTGACCTCGCATGACGAAGGATTACTCAACAATAAAAGGTCATAGTGTATCCTTTAGCTGGAAATGTCACCATTAAACACATAAGCACAGAAGTCTTTTTACCGATCCTGGAACTTAATACCCACTCAAGTTGCTATTTCTTCGTTTTCTTCGATATTAAGTGCTACCTGCTCCAAATAAGCAGTTCTCACGCTCCAGAAAAACACCCACATAAGAGCTTAAGTAAGTAAATAAAAAAGTTCAGAAGGCTCACTCAGTTTGGTAGTTGAATTTACAATGGAATATTATGTCCAATGAACTATTAGTTGACACCAAACGATCTACTATTTGCTTACGTTCTCGTAAAAAAAATATGGTTCGTATCGAAGGACCAATTTTTTCTGGTTTTATTTTAAATCAATATTTTCGTATTAATACACTGAGTTTAAAAACAAATCCACTGGTAATGGTTATGAATACATAGATTAAAAAAAATATATTAAAAAAGAAACTGAAAATTCATAAATCACACACCGTTGATATTCTGTATATTTTCTATAAGGTGGTAACAGTAAGAATTCTGAAATTGTTTACTTATTTGCGATCCAATTCGAACTCTTAAACCATTATAAAGTATTGCTTTGTACTGAGTTCACGGTTTTTATTACTTGCAAACGTTATTGAGAAATTCTGTTTCGAGAACTTTTTATTTAGATAGGAAAGGTGAGCTCCGGTCAAAGTTATTGTTACATTTTTAAAGTACCACGGGAACAGAGTTTGTAGGTTTATGTAAATTGGAGATTATCATTTTATAGGTTAGGATATTTATAGACACACCTACTTTCAAAACTTACGTTGGGCGTTCTTAACTTTTTAATTGAAACTAAGTTTATTGCTAAATAACTAGTCTGAAATACAATAATTGTGCTTGTTGGTTTATTTCAGTGTTTTTCCCAAACTTTTAACTGAAAATTCATTTAGGGATTAGGCAGGAAACGAAATTCATATTATCACATGTTGTTAAATAGTAATGATATCAAAGCAATACAAATACAAAACAATTAAATCCAACTATAATCTCACACAAACAAAACATAATCAGAACTACTGTATCAAAATAGCAATGCAAATCTAATTCGCTGGTAAGGACTATAATAAAATCTTGCCTACCAACGGCCAAACGCTTAATTTCTAGATATCGCCAAAGAAAATAGCACAGGAAAATGAGCCTTAAGAACGTGGTCACGCTAACGTTCACCGGTTTCATTTCATAATCCTTGATTGCGAAATGAGTTAATAAAAGGCTTGCTTGCTTGTTTATTCTACGAACTATATAGAGGTCGTTAGGGTGAAGTTAAAATTATTTTTACCTCTAGGTCTTCTCTTTAGATGTACCTTTAAGTTTTTTATGGTTGTTACTATATGTTAGGTAATCTTATCTAAATATTAATTGAGTGTTATTATGCCTTTGTTATAAATCAATGTGATACCTACATGAACAAAATTAAAGGTTCACTTAAAACGGTCAAAACTTGGAAAAAATTAAGTTGGTCCTTTGAGCTTAAAAGGACCAAAATGTCATTACTAAGCTATGGATATTCGACAGATTGAATTTATAATATAAAATGTGTGTGTGTGTGTTGGTAATTTAAACTTTAGTTCACAAAAACCACGTTTAGAGGGTCTGTGGTCAATTAAAATAGATATTTATAGTAAAGTTCTGCTACAAACCGCACGCCCAGTTTATAAAAGCGTAGTCTAGCGTAGTTGTAGCAGTATTTTATGCAGTGACCACTGTTCATAACCATTTTGATTTTACCGTATACAGAGGGAAATGACCGCAAATTTTAATAAGTATAGGTTGTGTTGTGCTAGTCAATAAAACGCCTAATTTGGAACCAAGTTTGCTGGAAACTAGGTTTATTTAGTGATGTGTGTGTAAGCGTTATAGCGTGTTAAATTTCCATTGGTTGGCCATTTATAGTGCCAAGTCTTTTGTTTAAAGATTAGGACTGTTGTAAAGGTAATGTTAGGTATGATTTGTACATAGTAAAATGGTGTTTATATTGTGGCAAATACATGTTATGCCATTTTTGAATTGAAATACGTATTGATGAAAGAAAATATAAAAGTAAAAAATGATGTCAACATTGTGTATCAGCCTAACAGTATTACCTAGCGTACATCCACTAATGTAAAAGTTTTTTTCTCTTAAAACCTGCATTCATATTTTAACAAAGCCTGTTTGGGAATGGTTAATCCAAAAAAAAATCAATTTCAATCATTGTGTTACAGGATGTTATTGCGAAACTGCTGATGTTTCGATGACTGGTCACAACTTAATATGTTTTTCTTTATGTAATTCGGTGGCAAACGAGGAGACGCATTACCTGATGGTAAGCAATGGGCACAGCCCAAGGACACCAAAGGAGTTGAGAGATTGTTGCCGGCCTTTTGGCAACAAATGGTGCCTCCGATAACCTAACTCGCACTGCGAACAAGTTTACATAATTTTAGTGAGGTCGTTGTATCACTCCGGTCAGTTTGACCACTTCATAGCAAAGCATGGCTCTCCTACACTAAACCTAAAAATAAACTCACCATTACTTTTACATATTTTTTATGAAAAAAAATCGTGGTCCCACACTAGGATGTATCGTAGGTGCATTTACAAACACACTAAAGGCATCCAGACTCGAAACAATACATATGTGGATAATACAAAGTGTTGACCCTTGCGGCAATCAAACTCGCGACACGATGCACAGCAGCCAGTTGCCAAGACTAACTGTAATGAATAAACTACTATTTCAAAGTACATAGTAATGAATAAAACTACAATTTTAATATTCAAAGCTGTCTGTCCACGTTTTAATAAACATAACGAAAAAGCCGCAAGTTGTATTTTTTAAATCTCAGTACAAACTTGAAAGTATCAACAAACGAAAGTTTTCTTTTTATAGTTGTTATTAAGTTTATTTTTCTTTGCCAACTCTGGCTAGTTGTGATAAGATACTTAGCTCTTCTTTTATTTTATTTTCTTAGAATTTTGTCTTTGCTTCTGTGAAGAATCTGTTAGTATTTTAATTAATTTCTTCTGATATGGAAAGTTTTATATTAAGTTATGGTTCTGTAGATTGTATTGTTTGAATGGTTTTCGTTATTAGTATAACTGAATTTGTATCACAGCTTGATACAAAAGATCAGATCTATTTATTATTGATACCATATCCTTTACCGACTCAAAGGACCAGCTTTATTAAATTACAACAATAGTGGCAACACGCAACACACATGTAACTCTACCGGTGTTGCTAGTAAAAATGGGTGTTTTTATATAAAAAATCATATATTTTAAAATTCGAATACATTCGAAATAAATGTTATCTTCATTTTAAATACATTGTACAAACAAGAGGCCTGAGTAATTAAATCACAATAGCTACACAACGTTTACATGAAATATTTCATTTTTTAAAGCGACTTGTAATAAAACTCCACAAATATTTGTTCGCAGTAATTTATTGTTAGTTTAGCGCCTACCCTCAAGGGATTAGCATATCGCGTCGCTACATTCACGTTTCTATTTAAAAATGGCGTGTTTTATAGTTTTTTTTAAGTAATACAACATTTGTCACGTTTCACTTGCTTTTTAAATAATTATAAAGTTTCCTTGCTGTGAATTCTTTTAATTTGTTTATGGTCTTACAATTCCTTTGTTGTTTGTGGTGCTGGAATGTGAGTGTGGTTTTAAGTACTGTTTTCTTATAACTTTTGCATTGAACGTACAAGAATGAGAAGAGAAGAATACATTTATTTATGTTATATGAACCAGGACTGCTCGCCCATATTGTAAACAGAGCAGTCGCTCCAGGAGCCAAATCTTAGGAAGCTCCTTAATGTTTAAAAGTTAAAAACATCGCCATCCACAGCCTAGGAGGATCCAATTATCGATATTGTCTTACTTCTAAAATCCTATTCGAACAAACTTTTTACCCGACACCAATCCTCAGATTCCATAGACGCACTTAACTAGTCGAATTGATGCGGATGTCTATTGGCAGCGCCGATAGCTTACCATCAGGTAATCAGTCGGCTCGTTTGTCACCTTATCACATAAGCCTTTCTATTACATGTTTACTTGGAACTGTAGGATGGTAAGCTTAAGCAGGGTTGCCAACGCTTGCGGTACAAAGATGTACCAAAGCGCCGTATGAAGCGATGTGTCACTATGGAGGTATACCGCAAGGGACAATGTGTGCGAGTTTGAGAATAGGAGTAAGGAAGAGCTCGATTCTAAAAGAAACAAGCTAAAAGATCGAACACCCGCGGGGATTTATTAAAATCATGTCGGCGGAGTGTTGACTTGTAATGAATATGGACGGACATTCTCTGCAAAAATTGGCTATCTCAGTCACTTGAAACCACATAAGCAAAATTCTCAAAAGGTAGAGTTAAGTTGTAATGGCCGCATTTGGTCTGGATACAGCGGTCTAAACAAATTATTTTGTCCCCAGGCGAAGGTACTGCGCTAGGGATGTCACCAGTGCTAGCATCCATAGCGGCAATGTCTGCTCTTCTAGCGACGGCCGTATGTGGTGTGTTAGCTGTATTGTACAAACGTCATGCGGCAAGACATCGACATCTTCCTGCCAAACATGCGCCTTTAAGGTAAGTTGGAGGAGTAACTTTGGGATACTGACTTTCAAAATGTTTGTTCTTCTACTTTTTTCTCTGCTTAGAGAAGAAAGTAGAAGTGTTAATGAAATAATTTCGTTTCATCAGTAATATTCTTCTATCTTCTTGCTCCTTCTTTAACGTGTTATAGTCATAATCTTGCTTCAGTGTGAACTTAAATTTAACCCTTATTACTTCACCTTCTAGGCTAAAAATAGCTTATGTGTTACTACAGGGATCTCTTTCTGTACCAAGTTCATGCGTCAAATTGTAACTGACATCATCATCATCAACACATAATTTTATAATTGTAACAAGATTTTAAGATTATTGAAAATAAATACGTACTGACCCGAGAAAAGCTCAACTAGTTTCAAGTCACACTGGGAGTCTTATTAATGAGCAGTCTGCGCATTGGTCAGCTGCTCGACGTTGCCGCGACGCGTTAGTTACACTAATTTAGAGATTTTCTAAGACCAATCGCGTGAGTCAGTCGTTATTTAAAAAAATGTTTTTTAATTATTCAATAACTTTTAATGTTAGTTAGTAGTTTATATTTGGATACGCTTACAACGATAACATGAATGCGGAATTTGCTAATATAGAAATACACAACACTACACTACAAATCCATGTAGTTGAAACTATAGGTATGCTTTTCGATGTCGGATGCAACTATTACTGGAACTAGTTCAAAAGTCAAATTACAAGCCTCAACTCGACTCGACTGATTCAAAATCGAGAACTTGAAATCGATTTAACTTTACTTCACCCGAGAGACGGGAATCCTGTAAATTAAGGTTTCTATGAACCACATCATCGTTTTGTGAATCGTACATATCCTGATGAGTTTTTCTAACATAACTTATAATGAAATTGCAGTTTTTTGAACATTATTCTAGAACGACTGTAATATCGTAATTGTTATTGAGTAGGTACCAAAAGTTAAAAAAGTAAGTGCTTGTCAGTACGGCTGGGCGAGCTCCAATCTTTCCCCTTACTCCATCTCTGTTGAATCCATAAATCCCCAAAGCCTCTGGAGTTGCGGGTGTACTCGGACGGCGCTAATTGGTTACTATCAGGCAAAGTGACTGCCCAGTTGTCAACGTATCACATCTTCTTTAAACGTTTCTCCACTATTGGAATTTTTCCTTTGTCGTGGATGTGTTTTCGAACACACATTTTATCATACACATTACACCCAGACCTGGGACAACAATTTGAGGATCACACAGAGTTCTTCCGTGCGGGAATCAAACTTGCCAAGCCAACGCGCCTTACAAAAAAACATGTAAAACCTTATTAGACATTTCTGACGATTTCAAAATATGATCATTTAAAAACATGTAAAAATGCATACTTATATACAAATATCATACAAAAAAAGATTATGTTTACATTTGAATCTCTCGACATTGACAAAAAAAACTATCTATTGAAAGTGGATTCTGAACCCGGACTCGTGTACCGTAAGTATCGTCGAGTTGATTCGTGGAGTGAACTGATAGATGTCATTCCGCGCCGCTGAGCGTGAGATGAGGTGGTACAAGAGCAAATAGAACATGGTCCACAAGAATGTAATATTTGTATTTTTATTTCTCGTATGAATATTCATATGTCAGTGGTGTTTAGTCAATCATATAGTTGTTTTGGGTACTACTTACTGGTGATTCAGTGGCTGGCAGTGGTTGGATGAGACGAGCCGAACATTGAGCTTAGTTTTTTCTTATGGTATATGTCGGCAAACGAGCAGGCGGATTACCTGATGGTGAACAATCGGCGCCGCCCATGGACACCCGCAACACCAAAGGAGTTACGAGTGGGTTGCCAGCCTTTTGGGGATAGGGGTTGTGTATATAAGGATCGGGAAAGGATAGGGGAAGAGGCAGGATTGGGCCTCCAGTTGGTATCCTACGAGGCCGTGGTACCACTCCGGTCGAGCCGACCCATTAGTGCCGAAGCTTGGCTCTCCCACACTTGGTTCAGTGGCGTGCAATTGATGAGGCTTATGTCCAGCAGTGGACGAAACCAGGCTGATGATGATGACGATGATGAAGAGTGGCTTGTAAATTGTTTGGTTTAGTTTCTTGATTTGCTTAGTTATATAATTGACGTTTAAATTATAAGCAAGTATAGGTAATACTAATTTTTAAGTGAGTGTGGGAAATCCATTTGGCACGAATTGCCCGGCTCGACCAGAGTGATACCACGGTCTTACAGAATACCGGCGTGAAGCAATACTTACGCTGTTTCGTCATATAAGTGACGTTACCAGAGACCTAACTTAAATCAATAGTAACCCATAAGAGGCCGGCAACGGACTTTTAGTAGCACACTCCTTTGGCATTACGAGTTTCAATAGGCGTGACTGATTGCTTACCATCGGGTAATGCGTCTGCACGTTTACCTACGAGCTATGCCATAAAAAGGACATATTTTTATCAACATGCAAATTATTATTGGGTAACAGATTAAGAGCAACCGAGTTCACCTAAAACTAGCATGTGATGTAGAACCTCGCTAATAGCTACTTGTGAAGTTTTCTTTAGGTTTAATAATATGTAGTTCGAAACAATAGCACGCAACACGCCACTCGATAAAAGTTCATGGCTAAAATTGGTGTAAAACATGTCAGAATAACTAAACTCAGTATTTTTGTTGTTTGAAAGTTAATCATTATGGAAGTAATTTAACTTTTACATATATATATATATATATACATATATATATATATATATATATATATATTGTATTTTATTTGCCTATGGGACATCGTGGTGGGTAAGGTAGGTCCACTGGCGATATTAATAATAATAAATAATAATTAAATCATTTATTGGTGTTAACAACAAAATGTATATAATATTAGGAGCTATATGGGATGCAAGTGGTTCATTGTTATTAAGCACGAAGTAACACACGAGGCCTTATTTCCGAAATTAACTGATGATGATGACGATGATTAGCCGTTGGTTAAAAACTGTCTGTTTGAAAGTTTCGCAAACATTTCATTAATAAGTTATGTTTCTCACTGTCGCAGAAGAGGTTTTTTTTCCCTTAAGTTCTGACGTAAAAATGGTAATTTAGAGTAACAAAATAAAATTTATCAAGTTCAAAGGTCAATATTGATCAATCATTACAAATAAAGAAACATCATCTGAATTTGAACCAATTTCTTCAAAACTTACACATTTCGACATCATCTATTTTTGCCATACCCGAGATAACAAATGAAATGGTAACAAACCCAGAATTACAAACCACGTCATTGTCTCAATAATTATCACTGACCACAAATACCTCGCCGCAATCGCCTTGTCAACTCCTTGAGTTTCAACCAACCGGGAGACCGCCCAATCACTCGTTTAATTGATAAATTAAATAGCCTGATCGAACCACACAACCACGTGATTGCAATTACGGATATAAATTAACATAACATTATGTCACAGAAGGGACAGATAGAGGATCATATACAGTATTATCTAATAGACCTAGTAAAATATTCAGTTATGGCAAGAATGCTGTCAGTCCTCGGTGAGTAAAGAGTCTATTTAAATCTATTTTGACTGCATGGTGGGTGCAATACGGCGTCGAATATCAAGGGACGATCTCCGGCCACCGCAAGCGCGGGTCTGCGGTCGGCGAGTAACGTTAGCTCGCCGCCCGACCAGAACCAGGCCCGAGCGTATGGCGCGTAGCGTTCCGCGCGCGCCTCAAAAAGCCAATAGACCACCACAGACGGGGCTCTATAGGGCTGATGTTCAGCCGGGGTTGCGGAGTAAGAATGAGGCACCGCGACCTCGGCCCAGAGCAGGAGGAGGAACAGGGGGGTTTTTAGTCAGTAAGGGGTGGTGCAATAGCTGGACAGCTAGCTGCCACGCAACGTGTCGCAGCCGGCGTCTCGAACGGAACAACCTTTGTGTGATAGACAAATTGTCTTTCCTGGTCTAAGTGTTATGTTTGTGTATGTATATTTTTATTAGTGTTAGACTCTTACTAACAAAAAGCCAAGTTCCAAGTTCTGATCCAAGCTTCTTCTTCGTTCTTCTCCAAGTTCTGATCTGTGGTAATTTATTGGACTTAATCCACCACACGACTCTAGTAAGCATCTTTGTGGGAGTGTGACAACTCTTTTAGACGTGAAATCGGCGACATTGGCACATTTTACCCCAGTGCTTAATTCTGGAAAATGCGCTCTTGCGGTGGGCAGAGATCCCCAATGCTGAAAGCGTCTCCTCTGGCAGCTGGTATGTGAGACCTAGTTACCTGGCAAAGGTAAAGAAAACATAAAGAAAATACGTCTACTTAGAGAGAGATAAAGAAAGAGATGGAGAGAGAGCCTGTTAATATTTTTTGATTTTAATTGGATTCAAAATCGACAATACCGTTTTGTTTGAGTTATTTCCTTATATTTGATAACGAACAATGTAAAGCTTGGTACACAAACAATTTTTGAGAATGGAATTTCATTGAAGAAATATTTATTAATTATCTACGTATGCATCATTCGACACTAAAATACTTCGTAAACTGTTTATCCTGTGACATGCCATTATACCCTTAACTGAAACAATAGCCGCTCGTCAATCTTTTCATTTTCATAATATCCTAGCGCTTGCTATCTAGGTGCGTCACTGGCGGTGAAGCTAATTTTCCAGTAAACAATAGAGAAAAGCCATGATCAATTTTCCTTGATTTAAGGTCGAAAATTGGCTTTAACCTGCCAAAATGATTATAATAGTTTAGGGCTGTAAGCAGTCATTTAGTAAGCTATGATCCATGTTGATCAAAAATGTAATGTAATCAAAAATTATAATTAAGTAAGACTTGTAGAATATAGGTACTTGTGTCGGCTGGGAGCTGTCATGCTCACTCGGGGGTCTCATTGGCGGTGGCACGGGCACTGGATCGCCCAATTCCCTATAATATGGTTGAGTTGGGCGGTGCTGGTGTACGTGTCATGTTCGTGAACGGGCGCCGCCTATTGGGTACTGGTCAGCTCCAGGCTGTCTAAATATGTTGTCCTTGAGGTTCACTTCTTTTTCGTACTTTTTGCCTGAACATTAGTGTTACATTGTTCTCACATATCAGAACCGACTAAATTATGTAACAAAGAAATGTATTGTAAAACTGATTGAAAAAGAGTAACCATGGAGTTTCTTGCTCGTTCTTCTCCATAGGAATCTACACTTTGGAACGAGCAAATAGCTTCACTAGAGGACAGACGGACAGACTGACACGCTTAATTTTAAAGCTCTTGTTATATACTTTTTTCCTTTTTTGCTTGCTTGACGTTCAAAAGTGCCTACTGTGGTCTAATTGAAATAAATGATTTTTGACTTTGACTAATGTGGATATTTAGTCAGGTTTTTAGTTCATCAAATGCCCAATGTATTTTCATTTAAACTAATAAGCCTTATATTTATATCATAAATGTTTACAAAAATATATATCTAAAACTACACATACTTTTCAACTATATGAACTACATAAACTAATATCTGTTCCTTGGTTATCATCGCTTCTCTGTTTGCCAGTTGGAAAAAGCCTCCTCCAACCAAGAAACAACAACCTTGAACCAATCCGTTCTGCATTAGTCACTGCTGCCACTTGTCTGATACCATCATTTATACTGTATTAGTCTTAAAACGATTAGTCCGTCTTCTAATTTACAACACATTGGTTCTTCAAATATTTTCGAATCTTCAAATCAATCACTAACTTTTTAATTTTCGCGTTTCATGTTAATATAATATTTACAACGCGAGAAATAACTATTTAAGTACCTTGAAAGGCTTGACGTTGTCGTCTACTTGCGACCACAACCTGTGCAGCCAGGTTGATATGTCAAGCCGTTCAAACTACGGTGGTACTTAAATAATTATTGTTCGCATTTATACTGGCATAAGTATAAGTATTATCTTCAAATCAATCAACTAATCATGATAATACTTAAATTAATTAACGCAAGAGCTGAATTACAAATCCACGTCTTTACTGAATCTTCTTATCATATACTAGCGCATACTAGTCAAGTATTTTACTTAGCAAAAGCCTTACCAAAAATCCCTTGTGTCCCCAACAGTGAAGCCATGTATGTGGAGCGAGCGCCTCACTGCCCGACTCCTGTAAAGCAAGATGTCGAGTCCCGCGCCAGCAGCACTGAGCCTAGGGACCGAGGAGACAGGGAGCGCACTGCAAGAGGAGCATTACTCCACACAGCTGATCCAAGAGACGCTGATGACGCAGATCCGGATATTATTCCCAGTTTATATGGTGAGTTTTTGGTAGCGGAAAAACAAATCTTAGATGGCAGAAATAGAGTCCTTTGAGCTTTCATCCTTTTGTTCTTTTGGTATCTTGATATAACAAGTATATCGTAACATACTGTTTTTACTTGGACAGAAAATAAGACATAAAATTGTATTTGGTTCAATGATTATTTTCTGTTTCAAAATGCTAGTTTTGAAAATAATTTTAAGAAACTGATTTTGCCGTCAGTAAAATTTACCTACATCGACATTATTGTGGAATAATCGAAGACTAATATAGGCTACAAAACATTACACTGGAAGCCATTGGTCGAGAAGCACGTGTTGTTAATCAGATACAAATCAGCTAAATTATTAAAAGTTACACTTAATACCTAATAAATAATATAGGTTCTAAGTCATTTATTTTACCTTCTTCGAATGTATTATAATATAGATCTATTACAATTTCTAAACCAAGAATGTTCCTTATACAGAGCGGAGGCCAGTATCCAATGGATACATGAGTCTCCAACGCCCCCCCTCATCAGGGAAGATAACTAAGCTGAGCGGCGAGGACGTCCGCTCGGAGCCTGACGGGGGAGCCTACTACACAGATTATAGGAAAAAAGATTATAGAATACCTTTAACTAGTGTGAGTATAATACTTACTCAGAAATTACTTTCGGTGACGTCATCGATTTTGAATAACTACCTTTTAAACGCTATACATTTGATTTCACGTCTTGCGAATTTAATTATGAAATATCATTTGAAATCGGAATCAACCATTGCTGAGTGTAATTTCCACCATTGCATTTGCTCATTTTAATATTCTCTGAATCTCATTATACCAAAGAGAAAGCAATTCCATTTTTGAGGCGGTGATAGAAACGTGTCACCATATTTTAAAAACTTGCTTGCTTGTAACACCTTATTTTATCCACATTTCTCATTAATAAACGTTTCTTTCTTACTTTTTTTTTAAATACCAGCACTCACGAAACATTTCCCCTTAGTATTTACGGGACTTAAAAAAATCATGACTATCTTGAAACTTCCAAAACCAATCATCATACTAACACACAAATTCTCTTCCAGTCTTATCATAGTTTAGGACGCGTCAACAAGGGCGTGAATGCCTGCAGCCCTAGTTCTGCGACAGGCGTGACGTCATCTCTGACTGCCCACCGACTCAGACCTGAAGTCGTGACAACCTCGCATCGTGTCCAAGAGAGCTGTATATAAAGTCGTCTGCCCATCCACTGTATATAGTCTTTAAACTAAGAATTGACATACGAATAAGGAATCTGAAATAGAAGCGTTAATTTGTGGTAACATTTTTCTTCCAAATTCTGTTTTTATATTGATGGTATCAACACATTTGGAATCAAAGTCAAAGTCAAAATCATTCATTCCAACTCAACCATAAATAGGTACTTTTGAAACGTCAAAATAGAATAGTAGTATCTATCAGTCTATTAGTCTAATAGACTATCTACTAATAGACTGTCTACTATCAGTCTATCACTATCAGTCAGTGTATACTATCAGTCTATTCGTCAGTGAAGCTAGGTGCTCATCGACATTATATTCTTCTCCAAATTCTGTTTTATATTGATGGTAGTAACACGTTTGGAATCTGAAGAAAATGTAAAATTTGATAGTTAAATATGTCCGAGTCAAGATTTTTGTTTGTCGTTTTGATTGTACCCAGTACAACTACATTATTGCCAACGATCTCTATATAGATTTGACCTTCAAAAATGTGTCACAAATGATTTGGACGACTTTTGCCAATTTTTCTTTGTAATGGAAGTATTTATTTATTATGAAAGTTTATAGAACTAATGAAGTCTTTAACATTCAAAGCAGTTACGCTTCTATACGATGTCCTTATTCTTATGGTATTGACTGTGTTCCTTTAATAGTGTAAAAACGTCATTTTTGTAAGAGATTTATGAATTTTAATTGTATGTTTGTATGTGATACGCTTGGTATGCCGTCGGTCGGTTTATTGTAAATAGTAGATAGATAAGTAAAAGTAGTTTTTACATTGTTCGTGTCTTACTCGTTTGATTTTTACTACTGTCATTTTTCTGGAAGAATGGTTTGGTTAAAACTTTGCAGAATATTCAGGTATAATTAATAGTATCTATGATTCTCTACTGCCTTCAAAACTTTTGCATTCCATTTCAGTCGCAACAAATAAATAACAGAAAAAAAACTGTACAGATACGCAGTGGCCTCACCGTGCGACGTAACGCGAGTTCGATTCCCATATCGAAAGATGTTCCGTGGAACGTATACAGAAGAAAATCCTCGTATAAGGCAACGTTTGAAAAAAAAGAAGAAATTATAACATACTAACTACTAGCTTCTTAGAATTATGAATGATCCAAAAAACAATTAAACACTTCAAAAACACACACATATAATACACTTCATATTCTAACAAGTCATTGTTACACCATTTAAGGGTCTGAACAGTCAAAAAAGTCAACACAAAGTTTTAAAAACTGTCACAATAGTGACGAAGACTAACAAATAGTAATATTGAGAGCAAACGTTAGTGATTGTGGGCAAACTGTAGTATGATTGATTCCCGGAATGGGCAAGTTGGTCAGTTTGAGCGATCAATTGAAATGAAGTTGTCGGATTCATAATTATGGAATGACTGACTGATTTAACAAAAAATACTCGTAATAAAAAAGTTGTTGCAGGTTAGGTGACCGGTTTCCAGAAGAGGATAATAAACAACGTCTTAATTTGAATCTAATATTTTTTTACCAGTACTCTTTAATAACCTACATCATTCTAATATATACAAAAAGAAACACGCACATTTTCGAAGCTCAAATGAAGCATATTGTGGTGTTACACTAAGCGCTAATAATTGCCAAATACGCAAAATTTTATATCGTAATTGTTTCAAGTCATTTCTGGAACACCAACTTTAATGACCATTTTTACATTAAAACTAAAAGTTACAACCAAAAAATCTTATATTCACCATTTTCTTGGCGTTTTAGTAACGATATGATTTCGAAATCAGTTTCTTAATAACAACAGTGTATTTTTCTAAGCCCACAAAGAACCTCTGCTCATCCGCCATCTTTGTAACCCTACATCACTGACCACACGCGACGTGTCGTTAAGTTGAATGACAACATTTATCCACAGTTAACGCACTAACAGTTATTTAACTCTGTTAAGTCGTTGTTGAATACTCACAACTGGTTATAACGTTGTTAGAATTATGTGCTCTAAGTTCACGCATGACAAGCCAACCAGTTGTATCGTTACATCGCCGCCAATGATTGTCACTTGTCAACATTGTATCAGTGACAATCATTGTCATGTGTACCGTGTGACTTGAACGTGTTTATAGATCAGAATTGGAATGTATCGAATGAGTTTAAAATTAGAAAATTCTTGATTATTTTCAACGTTAAAGTTCATCAATTATAAACACTTGACTGTTATTAATTATTTTAATATTTTTATGTGTAAGCTCATGATAAATCACGAACAGATTTCTTCAAGTCTAAAATTTAAATTTAATTGATATTGACATCAAAATAACGACTATTAATTTAAAAATATAAACCACCCATTCTTCTCAAATACAAAGATAATTTACTCTAGTATTTAATTACTTATTTTATTCTACAATTGTTTACTGTCTCAGTTCAAATAATGAAACGTTAATTAACAACAAATATACTTGAATGTAACTAGCAAGAATATTGTTAAAATAAATTATTTTTGTAAACAAATCTAATGTACTTTGTGTAATTGAGTTTTGTGTGTCTAGTTTAGACTCCACCGTAAGCTATGCTAAAGCTGCAGCCGTCGATACATTTTTTAATATTTCGTTTCCCAAGTATAAATTACCTGATATATAAAAAGCTACGTGATTTAAATACTAATGCCCGAAATACAGAATATTGGTGTATAATCATTTTATTCGCATAACAACTAAAGAGAAGAAGGGAGAAAACTAGAAAAGCTTCAAGATAAACAACAGCTTGTTATTAGCATCAGTAGTAAATTTAATACTTACATTATAACTGATAATTCCTTATTATCTCGTTTTAACATTAACGTCTCTAATCTGAGATTTTGTCAACAGTACAACAATCAAAATCAAACGAACCAACAAATAATTTAAACTTTTTAAAATTTGGAATTAAATAGCAAGCTCATATCTTCATAACTTTTTTACTTCAAATAGCATAATACTTATTGTATTAGCAATAAAAAAAATACAAAAAATGTTGATATGATATATGATAATGAAGTGTTTTTTTTATTAGTAAATAAATATTGACTTTCACTTTTGACTTTAAGTCATTTGGTAAAGCCAGTTAGTGGAGCTATAATATATTTTGTATCTTATCATATAGCTTCTAGTGGAGTCTAAACCTAACTAGTAATTTCATCTGCTCAAGATAATGAAAAGTGTAATTGTATTAACAGATCGTGTTAGTTAACTAAAACGTTTAGTCTTAAGTTCGTATGACGTTTATTTATTGTAAGTAATTGTAACTCACGTTTATATGTAAGTAATATTGATACAAATCCTACGTTAATCGTTGATATTGTGGCTGTTTTGTTGAACGATAGTAAAATTAAATTAAATCACACAAAGACTTATAATCTAGAATAGATTAAAATCTCTTAGGGCTGATTTTTCAATGGTTAGGTAAAAGTTATCTGGAGAATAATTATGATGCTGTCGCATCAGAATATTTGTATAAGACAGTGACAGCAACAATTTTATTCCTCAGATAACATTTATATGACTATTGAAAAATCAGCCCTAAGTGTCATCTATCATTTTGTCAAATTGGATCCATCAGTTTAGTTTTCGTAGATTTAGGCAATAAAATCTACGAAACCTTAATCCCCAATATGTAGGCTAGTAACTCGTGTGGAGTTTCGTGTGTCCAGAATCTTTAATTGCTTACCATCAGGTAATTAGTGCTCATTTAGCGCCCTACCCGGTGTAATGGACAAACAGGCTGACTTGCTTCTTTATGTATGAGTGCATTATTTTGTAATAAAAAGGATTTTAAGGACTTTGTTACGCGTAAAGAATGTAGCAGTTTATTTTTAAAATTCCTTTAAATAACTTAGCGCTCAAAACATGTCTGCCGTCTGGGTCAAGCGACGCGTGCATCAATGACGTCATAAAACCGAGCATCCGTGCAGACGCCGCGTCGAGCCGCGGCTGCAGATAATATTGTACTTTATTTTAATACAGACCGAACTTATAAATGTATCGTATCGGAAACGCGTGCGCCGCTATGGAGAATCGGTTTTATGTAGGTACGACATTTCGTTTTTAATGTTTCTCTTTGCGTTATTTTGTTTAATTTCTTTGTCGAGTCAGAATATGGCACGAGCATTAAATATAGGTCCAATAAAATATTTCTGTTTCTGTCGAATAAATAAGTACTGCGTTTACAGAACTTTCTTTTTTTGTCTTCGACGAATTCAACAGAACAGCTGCATATGTATATATTATATACTCAACTTCCATATTTAAGTTTGCATCCAAATTCGTGTGTGACATGTAAATAAAACTCGCAGTGTGTATTTATAAAGTCCCTGTAAATTATCTACCCGCGTCCATTTTTCAACCAAATAACTATTGTAATTATGTAAAATTTGTAAATAAATAAATAAATAAATTAACGAAATTATAAAATCTAGTCTAATTTAGTACTAACGGTGCTAAGTATTGTACATTTTTGAATTAATTGGTAAAACAGAAAACATAGGTTTACGTCAATTGCCGACCTCATACTAAGTATGGGACTTTAAATATTGTTAAAAACATTGATTCTTGTAAATGTTTCCAAATAAATACAATGTCAAGCATTTATCAAAGGAATTGTTTTATTTTTAAACTTTTGAGCAGGAAATAATATACAGCACAGGAATTTGTTCGGTATCAAGAAGAACAATTGGGTCGAGTTTTGTGTGTAACTATTGAAAATTTCGATTTTTAAATACTCGATTCAAATAAGAATTCAGTACTTATAATATTCTTTTTATTGGGACACGGGGGTGGCTCTTTGCATACTTTGTGCTGTGAGTGCGTTTAAAAACATATAAATTGAAACACATATCACACACAAATACGAGACTACATTTTGTAGATCCCACAAAGAATTGTTCGTGCGGGTATAGAAAACGGGGCCCGCTAACCATTAGCTGGTAGCACTGCGCCAACCTTG